GGACATTCTTTGTAATAGACGTGGACACCTGCAACATAGATATTGTACAGGTTAAATTTGATAATTCAAATGATCATACGATGACAAAAACACAACTAACCTTTGTTTATTGTAAGGATGCCATAGATAGTGCCATGTTTTGTAAAGATTTTTTCATTCAACTTTGGTGGCGTAGGTCCTGGGCAGTATGGGCAATTGCTTTCTTCAGGTGATAATTTTTGTGGTGTTTCTGGCACTGACAAATGAAAATCTTCTGATAAACAAGAGGGAATTTTTTTCTCTGACCACAAGTACTCCACTATTTTCTTTATGAGAGATGAATCTATTTGTATGGGATGGTCCAGGTCATCAGTTTCACTGTTGATGTCATCATCACTGTCACATGATAAGGTGGCGTCATCATGTCTAAGGAGGTCTGGCTTTTCTTGAAATGTCCAACATTTACACAGGCTGATGTGGACACATGTCCTCCTCTTTGTATTCTTACATTTACACATCCATAGCCCCTTTCCTATATCAAATGTCACTCTTACTCGTCCAAACATGCTATAACTATGTTTTTCTCCAGTAAACACAGAAAAGTACATGTTTTTGGACGAGTATCCATGTTCAGTGAATTGTACTGGGTACACAGACACTGCTCTTTCTTGTAAAGCTTTGCTTTGTAACTTTGCACACTGCTCTGATGACAAAGCAGACATGAGGCCCTTTTCTACTAATGCCTCAATTGAAGCATCTTTTAAAATGGGTGGTAGTGGATGCGCTTGGAAATTGTTTACCCTCTGTAGGTGACAACATTCTCGTCCAGGAGCCAGAGACATGAATTCCCTACAATCGGGTTCTTCACAGTCAATAATTTGTAACTGGAAAGATTTTGACATATGTATTATAGTTCGTGGACCAGACTTATCCTTGGTGGTGACAAATATTCCCCTTTCTTTATCGACAAGCATTATAGGTGCCCTGGTTTTGTTATGCTTATCAATCTCATGTCTTCTTAATGTAACCACAGATAGAAACGTAGCCATGCATGAAGGACACTTAAAGGACTTTTCCATTTTGGACTTTTTGTGGGTAGATGCAACCTCTAGAAAAGAGCAAAAAAATCACATTTTAGTTTAAATGACAACAACTTTTTTTTTATTATGATCATACCTTGTTTGGTTGTTGTGGGGATAAGACCTGTACAACAAAGATTCAAAGTAGATGTTGTTGCAAGAACATTGTGCACATTTTAATAAAAGGCATTTTGAAAAGCTACTTGCCATGGGTTTGAAGATGATATTCAAACGAATGTTTTCTTTGCAAAATTGCTTCACAAACTGGGCAATGCCAGTGACAGCGGTAATTGCTCTTGATATGGCAATGACATGGTATGGAGAACTGGTCTATAAAACACACACAGGAGCATGCGCAGTCATTCACACACGCGCACACACACACACACAGACAGACTGAACACTTTTTTCTGTGAGTGTGCATTTCAGCGTGTATGCCAGTTCGTGTGCGTGCGCTCACACACACTGAAATTTGTTTTCTGTGAGCGTGTGCATTTGCGCGTGTATGTCAGTTTTGTGCGTGCGCTCACATACAGTGAACACTTTTTTTCTATGAGCGTATATGCCTGTTTGTGTGCGTGCGCGCGTGGACACGTGTATGAATACGCACGTCAGTGTATGAATAAGTGTAGAAGTGTATAAAAAACAGAAGACAATTTACCGTGTTGTCCATTGTTGAAGGAAACAGCGTAGCGATAATGCACATTATGAATGTGCTCTTTGGACGCCAACGTATTACTTTTACAGTATGGGCAAACTTTATTTTCTATTTCATAAAGCTCTTCCACTCTTGTAAACACCTTAATCATCTAGATATAGTTTAGGCAGCATAATTTTAATAATTAGATTTATGGATGTTCCCACAAACAACAGCATTAGTCAGATACTTACTTCAGCCGCCATGGTTCATCACTACAGACACGCGGTGGATTTTTCCTTTTTAGGCCCCTTAAACGTGTGAATGCACATGCGCAACAACATAATTCAGATGTACACTTAAAAGTTGAGAACAAATTATTTATTAATATAGAAATACCCCAAAAATGAAAGTATTAGTGTCCTGGAAATATAAGCTGCTGTACTAAAGACATTAGTAGTAGTAGTACTACTTCTATTACTAATGCTAGTACTACTACTAATTACAACAACAAAAACGACAACAATTACAATATTAATATTTTTTTATTTTAATAATCGTAATCATCATCATCATCTTCAACATTATTATTATTATTGTTAATAATAATGTTCAATGGTCATAATGATGCTATAAACAGACTGGATCAGTGGTAAACTTTCTAAAGCAGGTATTTACAGGTCAAAAGCATAGTGAGCAAGTCTGCCGTTGTGTGTGACCATTGTCCTGATGGTTACATTCATCTGGATCAGTGCTTCAGGATCAACCAGGAGCGGTCAAGAGCGGAGTTTAAACAGCCTGGAGTAGTGTGTATGGCTTTGAGCATATTATATATGCTTCGAGCATATAAGTAATCTCTATTTATTTATATACCGCCTTTCACAGACCAGAGTCACAAAGCGGTTTACAATAGTTATTTTTGGGCACTTGTCCTCTTTCTCCACACAGAGATGGGAGCGGCATATAATATTTATAATAATAATATATTTAATATATAAATATATATTATATTTGCTTCAAGCACACATATATTTGCTTTGAGCACACATATATATGCTTCGAGTACACATATATATGCTTTGAGCATATAATATTTGCTTCGAGTACACATATATTTGCTTCGAGCATATAATATTTGCTTCGAGTACACATATATTTGCTTCGAGCATATAATATTTGCTTCGAGTACACATATATTTGCTTCGAGCATATAATATTTGCTTCGAGCATATAATATTTGCTTCGAGCATATAATATTTGCTTCGAGCATATAATATTTGCTTCGAGTACACATATATTTGCTTCGAGCATATAATATTTGCTTCGAGTACACATATATTTGCTTCGAGCATATAATATTTGCTTCGAGTACACATATATTTGCTTCGAGCATATAATATTTGCTTCGAGTACACATATATTTGCTTCGAGCATATAATATTTGCTTCGAGCATATAATATTTGCTTCGAGTACACATATATTTGCTTCGAGCATATAATATTTGCTTCGAGTACACATATATATGCTTTGAGCATATAATATTTGCTTCGAGCACACATATATTTGCTTCGAGCATATAATATTTGCTTCGAGTACACATATATTTGCTTTGAGCACACATATATATGCTTTGAGCACACATATATTTGCTTCGAGCATATAATATTTGCTTCGAGTACACATATATTTGCTTCGAGCATATAATATTTGCTTCGAGTACACATATATTTGCTTTGAGCACACATATATATGCTTTGAGCACACATATATTTGCTTCGAGCATATAATATTTGCTTCGAGTACACATATATTTGCTTCGAGCATATAATATTTGCTTCGAGTACACATATATTTGCTTCGAGCATATAATATTTGCTTCGAGCATATAATATTTGCTTCGAGTACACATATATTTGCTTCGAGCATATAATATTTGCTTCGAGTACACATATATATGCTTTGAGCATATAATATTTGCTTCGAGCACACATATATTTGCTTCGAGCATATAATATTTGCTTCGAGCATATAATATTTGCTTCGAGCATATAATATTTGCTTCGAGTACACATATATTTGCTTCGAGCATATAATATTTGCTTCGAGTACACATATATATGCTTTGAGCATATAATATTTGCTTCGAGTACACATATATTTGCTTCGAGCATATAATATTTGCTTCGACACATATATTTGCTTTGAGCATATAATATTTGCTTCGAGTACACATATATATTACTTTGAGTACACATATATTTTCTTTGAGCATATAATATTTGCTTCGAGTACACATATATTTGCTTTGAGCATATAATATTTGCTTTGAGCACACATATATATGCTTTGAGCATATAATATTTGCTTCGAGTACACACATTTGTTTTGAGCATATCATATTTGCTTCGAGTACACATATATATGCTTTGAGCACACATATATTTGCTTCGAGCATGTAATATTTGCTTCGAGTACACATATATATGCTTTGAGCACACATATATTTGCTTTGAGCATATAATATTTGCTTCGAGTACACATATATATCCTTTGAGCACACATATATATGCTTTGAGTACACATATATATGCTTTGAGTACACATATATATGCTTTCGAGCATATAATATTTGCTTCGAGTACACACATTTGTTTTGAGCATATAATATTTGCTTTGAGAACACACATATTTGCTTTGAGCATATAATATTTGCTTTGAGCATATATTTGCTTTGAGCATATAATATTTACTTTGAGCATCTAATATTTGCTTTGAGCGCTATATATAGTCTTTGAGCGCTAAGCTTTGAGCGGTCTACGTATGGTCCGGAGCGACCCGGAGCGGAGTTGCCGGTGAAAAATGGTGAGAGGGCTGCTGCAGAGCCAGTGCGCGCTGTGCCGATGCTTTGAGTGGTATAAAATACTGATAAACTGTGCAAAATCCCGAGGTGTGGAGCAATGGGGCTGTAGGCAGTGAATAAATGACTGGGAGCCGTGTCAATAGCTTGGAATACTTTTTGAGCGCTGTTTGAGCGCTGGTCTCTGTGACGTCAGGACAGAGCGCTGTTTTGGTCACAACCCCTGCTGCTTATCTTGCCGCAAAGATCCAAACAGTTTAATGCAAAGGTTTCTATAAAGATAATGTACTTATTCTTGTATTCTTTGAGGCGGATGGCCAAAAGGGTGGAGTAGACATTAAAATATGGTCCTCATACCTGCGGTTGTTTTTCGCTTCATGCTTTCCTATATTTTTTGTTCTACATAAACTATCTACAGAACTTTAACGTCAGTCTTTTCTCCTCTAGGCCAGTAACTTCCTGCGAGCGTTCCGTACAATCCCGGAGGCTTCGGCGTTGGGGCTAATCCTGGCGGACTCAGACGAGCAGACGGGGAAGGCCCGTCTGGGACGCCTCATCCAGAGCTGGAACCGCTTCATCCTCACACAGCTGCACCAGGAGACCCAGGAGCAGGAGGGACCACAGGCCTACAGGGGCACCAGCAGGTCAGCAGCAAGCTCCAACCGAGGAGAGAAATGTGCTTTGTCTTAAGGAAATTTCACTGCTGCAATCAAAGAATTAATTTAAGTGTGAGCCAGTGCAATCTGTGGCAATATGTCAATTGTTTGAAGGTGCTTTGCTATGGTGATTTTATTGCTACCTCAGTAGGGTATTAAACAAGTCCATTTAGTATCTAACTTATTCCATAAATAATACTTTGTTCCAAAGAAAGTAAAATGTTGTGAACACATCAGACTTGCTGTCTTTTCCATCCTTGTGCTGAGAACTGATTGGCTGAGCGATGTCCTCTCTTATTCACTTTTTTTGTCTGAAAAAGCTGATCTAATGATGTGACAGAGCCCAAAATATATGCATGTGAAATGTGGATTTTTTTAATATAATGACACAGCTTGCAAATGTTTTTATTGCTCAAAAAACAGAAAACATACTTTGGCTCAGCTCCCCTCTCTGCAGCCCAGTGTAAGCGTTTGTTTTCACCGTAGATGAAAAAGGTAATGCCATACTGTGTCACTCATGGCTAAATAACATTTGGATGGACCCAACCCACAATCTGATCTTTCACAGTGAAAGTTACATAATGCACCTTTTTGAAATCTATATTTGACGTATTTTCTTTCAATCACTCGTGTTGGACCATCTCCTTATCTCTCTTGTTAACATTTTTTGCTGAAATTCAATTTTTCATATTGTTGTTGCTGGATTTGTTGTGTTATACGTTTTTTAAAAATGTGAACAAAGTTACTCCGTCCGTTATCGTGTCAGAATGGCCCAAACTTTACTGCTGCAGCCATGCTTATCGTGTCTCTCCCTGTGGCGTGTTTTCAGCGCTCTGGGCTCGTCTGGGGACTCTGCCATCGGAAAACTGTTCGGCTGCGAGGTGGAGAACAGCAGCTTGTGTCGATGTGGGAAAGAGACTGTGCGCTCCTCTCTCACCCTGCTGTTCACCATGCACTACCCTGAACACAGCTCTCAAGGTACTAACTCTCACAGGAACTAACTGGACAAAAAACTACTTCAAACCAGTGATCAAGTTCCCAAATAAATCTGAATGTATATTATGACGTCATTTTGTTTTAGTTGTGACTAGATCTGAAGTTTTATCGTCAGTTATAATGTGGACTAAACTTACTATTGGAATATTTGTAATCCTCCACAGCCCACTTTCACCAGTCATGCTGGTGAAAGTGAGGGGCTTTCTACATCCCCCTCTCCCATTCTTGTTGTTGGAACACTTCACTCTATGGGGCTCTTGGTTTTACACTGTGTCTTTTCTGTTGGCAGATAAAGTGAAGGAATATGATTTTGCTGAAATATTGAAGAGGAGCATTTGCCTGGAGCAGAGCACTCAGGCGTGGTGTGAAAACTGTGAGAAATACCAACCCACGGTCAGTAAAAACTGTAAAAACTCCTGTTTCACATCCCCAGAATAAAGAGTGAACTGGGCAGATTGGCCTTTTCCACTTTGAGTTGCCTTGTGTATGAATTGTGCTATACAAATAAACTTGCCTTGCCTTTCTGTGGCACCATGGGCTTGGAAAAACATCCAAAACATGTTACAGTTAAAAGAACTTTGTCCCCTGGTCTCATTTAAATTTCCATTGCAGGAGAGATTGACTGAAATGTGCAGAAGTGTATTCTTGAGCTGGATATTTGAACCAATTTGATGTATTTTTATAATGTCGCTGTTTGTTCTTTTGGATGTATGTTATTTGTTACCAAGGTGTTCTTGGCCAGGTCTCCCTCATAAAAGAGATTTTATCTCAAGGGACTTCCTGGTTAAATAAAGGTTTAATAATAAAAAATATATATACTGGGCCTCATGTATGAAACTTGCGTACGGCCAAATCAGGGTGTAAATGATGCGTACGCAATAAATGTACACTTTTCCGCATTTATCAATCTAGACGTGAGCGTACTGTACGCACAGAATTTACACCAAGTCAATAGGTGGTGTAAATGTGTACGCTCATTTCAACCTTTGTCACAACACGCCAAAACACGCATGAAATTCAAGATTTGGACAACAATAAACATGTTCCCACTCTGGCAACATTATAAGCTGCGTTTTCATTAAGCATCATGTTTCTAAATTTGAATTTGTGCATCAGAAAACGTCTAACACTCTGGAAACACGCAAACTTCGAATAAATCATAGATCATGATGAGGAGCCTGTTTTGTTTCTATGATTTTAAATCTGACTTCTGTGTGTATTATTTTGATCTGTATGTTTTTAAAATGTGAAGCGCTTTGTGATCCTGGACAGTGAAAGGCTCTATGCAAATACACTTTACGCGACAGGGATGTGTGACCCAGCTATTGCTCTGGCAGGCTCTGCGCTGCGTAATTACGCACGGCTATTTGTATTCCTCATTCACATCTGGTAAAGCGATGTATGTTTTCATTAGATTTGTGTAAGCCTCACACAGACACATTAACGCATGGACCGATGGACTATGGTATCGTTCACTCCAAATGTCTCACTGCCCTGTCCACCCGCTGCGCACTCTTGGGAGTGCATCTACAGCAGGTGCCATGAGAGACGCGCCACATAACTCCTCAAATGCTGTCATTCAGAAGTTTAGGCTCCAGAGTTTCTCTGTAAAATCTGGACCGCAAACGCTCTCTCAAGTGTACAGCGCTTCAGTGCATTCACCAGACGCTGCAGACGCTTCATTGATGAGAGCCACCGCTGCAAAATATGAATTCATTCATTCATTCATTCAGTCTTTATTTATTCACTTCTACAATCCAAGAGAAATTTTTATAATTTATCAAAACATTTCTGCAAATTTGTTCAAAACGCAGCTGAATAAATAGCGTAGTATATAGCGTATATTTATTTTTACATATGCATGAACAACCTGTGGCAGACCCTGCGCCGTATACGTAATTACGCATATGTTTTGCCTCATTCACCTTTGGCAAAGCAATGTGGGTTTTCCTTAGTTTTGTGCATAAAGCCGCATAAATGCACCTGATCTTGCTCAAAACTGTCTCAGGCACTGCCCTTTACTCCGCAGAGCAGAGATAGGATGGAGAGGCGCACCAGCAGTATAGTTCATTCATTCATTCAGGTCATTTATTATTTATTTATTTACGTCGACATTTCCGGAGAGATGAGTGCTGCAGTGGTTCTAGACACTAGGGAAAAATGTGTATATATAATATAGCGTGTATTTTATTTTTATTTTTAACGTGAATAAACTTAAAAGTGCGTGCTTTTTGCGGCTTCTTAGCCGACTTCCTGCTGACCTGTCGCAAAAACAGGGCGTGGAACAGACAGTTTCTGAATATTTACAGGCGTGACTTTCATAAATACGCTGGTTTTGAGCGCGGCATTTATCAACAGCCGCAGGTGCGTACGCTCAGATCTGTGCGTATCTCACACGCTCATAAATGCCACGTCAGATCTTGCGTATCTGGGCTCTACACCCAAATTTTACACCTTTTTCTGCGCAAGTTTCATACATGAGGCCCACTGTATTTATATATATGCACTTACAAAATATAGCTAGATATGTTTTCTATTTACAGAAATATGTATGCATATGTCAATGTCAATCAATATTTTAGAATGTGATGTTGTAAACCACAATATTGAGCCAAAACACATCCATTGACCTTATGTCTGGTCAGAACTGAATAGTGCCACCAATTTATTTTGAAACCAGGAGTTTAAGTTTTTTAAGTAATTGCAAGTAGGCAGATGCGGATGGATTTAATAAAATGCACGCATAATGATCTAGTGTGCGAGTGCGTGTGTGTTTACAATTATATCTTTATGTGGGATCAATAACAAATGTATTCATCTGTCAAATGTAATTAAAGTTGTGTTTTAAATGTCTTCTTTTAAATACATGTCGTGTAAACAAGTGAATTATTTTTCAGGTTCAAACTCGAAACATCCGCTGTCTCCCTGACGTCTTGGTCATAAACTGCGAAGTGAACAGCGCCAAAGAGGCAGAGTTTTGGAGAATCCAGGCTGAGGTCTGTCCCAATTCCGTCTCTCTTTAGGGAGGCATATCATTCACAAATCACACTTTTTTCTTGCGTTTGCTCCCTTTAGTATGCGTTCAACAAAGCCATGCAGAAACAGGCCAGCGAGCCCCCCAAACCCAAGGAGCCGCCTCCCCCCATGCCGACAGAGTGGTGTCTGGAGTAAGGACGCTTTACCATGACTCACAGTTACAGTATATCATAGAAATGTCCTGTTGCCATAGTCACCAAAGTTAACAAACGACACAAAAACAAGTATGAATATTAGTTACAAACAGAGATACACGCAAACCAACCAACTTCACTGTCCAATCCAATCCACATAATTGTTTTACATTTTTATTTATATATTTATTTATTTACATCCCTCCTTTACAGCTACAATAAAAAACATTAAATTATAGATATAAAAATAAAACATAAATAAACAGCATCTGCTGTTTTGTTTTGTTATATGTGCATTTAGTCATATGTTTTATTATCACTTCATTGTATTTATTACTGAAATATTTAACTTCATCAGTGTCAAAACAATTCAATGTATTTTTGTACAGCCCTAAATCACAACACCAGGATGCTCGAACTCTGGAAATACATTATAGCACCCAAATTGGAGCCATTGTCGCTGGATAAATAATGTCCAGGATCATCACTGTCCTTCGACTTTCCTGCATCGGAAAGGAATTAGTCAAAAACCCAGTGGGAAAAAAGTGAGGTCCTCATTGGGAGAGGAATCCGCTCTTACAAACGGACAGCCGAACAGTTCATTGTTAAAATATCAGAATAAGAATAATTTTTATTGCCATGTAAGTAACAGGAAGTCACAGAAATGAATGATCGGAAATTGCTTTGGTTCTCTTTTCAACAGTCAAAGAAGAGAGGTAAAGAATAGAGTAAGACACATTTAAAATCAGCGTACTCTTCTAAGGTCTAAAAAATTAATTATCAGAGAGATGAATAAAAAAGAGCATAGTATTTTCTGGTTTTGATTCTTGTCAGAAAAACATGATATTGACAGTTGATTTGACGAAATGCCCTGTTTTCCCTGTTTGCTCCTGTGGCGTCTGCAGTGAGGCAGAGCTGTGCAGCGTGGAGGGCCTCAGCATGGACACTCGGGCTGAAGACCTGCGACACGTGTGGATTCCTCTGACTCTCAAAATGTGCATCAGTAAAACTCAGGGACTGGAGATCAGCAGCTGGAACGAGCCTGACGAGGTGAGAGGAGGTTACACTCTGAAACACTTCCAACTACACACAGTAGACTTTGCTTTTAGTGGCTTTTCATTGTGATTATTATGTGGCGCCTGCTGCCTCTATTCCTCCATAAGTCCAAGTAACACAATGGCTGTCTTGAAATGGTCCAAGTTGTGATAACGTGTGGATACGGATGTGTTGTAGCTGAGTGCGGAGGAGGAGGCGGAGGGAGCGTCTCTGTATGATCTGGTGGTGACCGTGCCTCACATCCTGGACACTCGCACCGGAGGAAACCTGATCGCTCACATCAAAGTGGGAGAGACGTATCATCAGCGCAAAGAGGTCCGTCACATTGATGTCACAGAAAGTCATTATTAAACAGGACATAGATTCAGATTTAGTTTGTTTCCCTCAGTAGAGTTTGAAAGTTTTTCCTTGTGTCTAAAAAAAATGACTCTGGTGATGATCCAGAACATTTTAACATTCTACAACATTCATGGACATTGGTTTCTCCCTACGGACCAATACATAGGTGTTCTATAGTTTTTGTGTCTTAACTGTTGATTCTCTGGTCTGTGTTGGTGATTTCAATGGTTTTGTTAAGTCCTCTGAGATGACTGCTGTTGTGATTTAGGGCTTTACTAGAATACATTTAATTGAGTTGAAATCACATTGTAACTTGTTGTGATAACTTGTACCACAATGGAATACTGCAATACACTAAATTAAGTCCATTTTTGAGCCTTTTCTTGATATGTGTATTACTTCTCATCATTCTTACTCATAAAACCAGTTTGTATTTAAATTTTCGTTCCTCATATTAATTTAACAATGATTAATTTCTGCACATTTTAAAACTGCATCTTATCGACCATTATGTCCATTTATTCTATAATGTATAAAACATATATGTATATGTTTTTATGAAGATAACTAGGTCAAATTAACCACAAAAAGTAAAACATATTTGTTTTCCAGGGTGTGACACATCAGCAGTGGTACCTTTTCAACGATTTCCTCATCGAACCAATAGATAAGGTACAGTCAACGTGAGGCGTTTATGACGTTATAACAATCAGAGGGGATGATGATGATGATGAGTATGATGATGATGATGATATCTCCCAGACTGAAGCTGTGCAGTTCGACGTGAGCTGGAAGGTTCCGGGGATTCTTTATTACGCCAAGAGGAACTACCACACAAAATACGACTTACGCAGTAAGTATGAGGTGTAATGAACGAGCCATGTTCCTGGTCTTCTTCAAATGTCTGAGTTCTAATAGGATTTTCTGCAATGAGAGAAACAACATTGGTGCTGCTTGAAGTAAAGTAACTCTTTATATATACCTTAACTGAATGCAACATTTTTATGTGCCTTCAGTAAAGAACCCCATCGATGCGAGCGTGCTGCTCACAGAAGCATCTTTGGCTCGAAAGCAGAGGAAGAGCCACGCCACCTTCATCCCCCTGATGGTCAGCGAGATGCCACAGGCCGGAGATCTGGTCGGGCTGGACGCTGAGTTTGTCACACTGAACCAGGTACTTACAACTTTTTAATTATGGTCGAAAAACATGTCGCCATTCCTGGATGTTTCTTCTTCTTTCTCTGAAATGTCCATGGTCCTGACTCCTTTTTCAAATGTGACAAATGTAATGATATTCCCAATATTCAGATCTCATTGATATTTTTGCTAATATAGTTCATCTCTAATCCTGACTCCCCTAAACGAATCCTTGTGTTGCAGGAAGAAGCAGAGCTGCGCAGTGACGGAACCAAATCCACCATTAAACCCAGTCAGATGTCTGTGGCTCGGATCACCTGCGTCAGGGGCCAGGGCGCCAATGAGGGCGTGCCCTTCATCGACGACTACATCTCCACCCAAGAGCAGGTCACATCATTCTTCCAACACACTCAAATCCTATACGCAAATACTATGAAGCCAATTGTTTTTCATGCGCTGCTCTTTCCTTTTATGAAGTTGTCCTTGCAAAATGAAATTGTTTAAATTGTATTCCACCATAATGTGATTCCCTCTGGTCCTGGGTGCCCTTGACCCTTCTGACGTTTCTGTCTTGCCCGTAATTAAAAGCAAGCACAGGTTCAAACAACACACAGACTTTTAAAAAATATGGGGCTTCAGTGGGGAAAAAATAACAATAAGATATTTTGATAGCGCCCTTGTTCCTTACTCACACAAGTGTTTGTTCTTGCAGGTGGTCGACTACTTGACTCAGTATTCGGGCATCAAACCTGGAGACCTGGACGCTAAGATCTCCTCCAAACACCTGACCACTCTGAAGTCCACTTACCTGAAGCTGCGGTTTCTCATCGACACTGGAGTTCGCTTTGTGGGACACGGGTTACAGAAAGACTTTCGGGTCATCAACCTCTTTGTGAGTAAAATACCTGGATTTATACATTTGATCTGACTGTCTTTTTGCTTTTATCATGATTTGTTTTGCTGTAATACACAGGTTTTGAAGGACCAAGTCATAGACACTGTCCACTTGTTCCATTTGCCCAGAAAAAGGATGATTTCACTTCGGTTCCTCGCCTGGTACTTCCTGGGTACGTTGGAATGATGAAGCACATTTACAAATAGTAGGAGAATTGGGAACTAAAATCCATCCATCCATCCATTTTCTTCCGCTTTATCCGTTGCCGGGTCGCGGGGGCAACAGTCTAAGCAGAGACGCCCAGACTTCCCTATCCACACACACTTCCTCCAGCTCGTCCGGGGGGACCCCAAGGCGTTCCCAGGCCAGCTGAGAGACATAGTCCCTCCAGCGTGTCCTTGGTCTTCCGCGGGGCCTCCTCCCGGTGGGACGTGCCCGGAACACCTCCCCAGGGAGGCGTCCAGGAGGCATCCGGAACAGATGCCCGAGCCACCTCAACTGGTTCCTCTCGACGTGGAGAAGCAGCGGCTCTACTCCGAGCTCCTCCCGTGTGACTGAGCTCCTCACCCTATCTCTAAGGGAGCGCCCAGCCACTCTGCGGAGGAAGCTCATTTCGACCGCTTGTATCCGCGATCTCGTTCTTTCGGTCATTACCCACAGCTCATGACCATAGGTGAGGGAGGGAACGAAGATTGACCGATAAATCGAGAGCTTTGCCTTTCGGCTCAGCTCCCTCTTTACCACAACGGTCCGATACAGCGACCGCATCACTGCGCACGCTGCACCGATCCGCCTGTCAATCTCACGCTCCATTCTTCCCTCACTCGTGAACAAGACCCCGAGATACTTGAACTCCTCCACTTGAGGAAGGACCTCTCCACCCACCTGAAGAGGGCAGGGCACCTTTTTCCGGTCGAGCACCATGGCCTCAGATTTGGAGGTGCTGATTCTCATCCCAGCCGCTTCACACTCGGCCGCAAACCGTCCCAGTGCATGCTGCAGGTCCTGGTTCGTTGGAGCCAACAGGACAACATCGTCCGCAAACAGCAGAGATGAAATCCTGTGGTCCCCGAACCGGACCCCCTCCGACCCCTGGCTGCGCCTAGATATTCTGTCCATAAATACAGTGAACAGAACCGGTGACAAAGGGCAGCCCTGTCGGAGGCCAACATTCACCGGGAACAGGTCTGACTTACTGCCGGCAATGCGAACACAGCTCTGGCTCTGGTCGTACAGGGACCGGATGGCCCTCAGCAGAGGACCCCCGACCCCCGTACTCCCGGAGAACCCCCCAAAGGACACCCCGGGGAACACAGTCGAACGCCTTCTCCAAATCCACAAAGCACATGTGGACAGGTTGGGCGAACTCCCATGAACCCTCGAGTATCCGATGGAGAGTATAGAGCTGGTCCAGTGTTCCGCGACCGGGACGAAAACCACACTGCTCCTCCTGGATCCGAGATTCGACCATCGGCCGTAGCCTCCTCTCCAGTACCTTGGAGTAAACCTTACCAGGGAGGCTGAGGAGTGTGATCCCACGATAATTGGAACACACCCTCCGGTCCCCCTTCTTGTAGAGAGGGACCACCACCCCGGTCTGCCACTCCATTGGCACCGCCCCCGATCGCCACGCGATGTTGCAGAGACGTGTCAGCCGAGACAGTCCTACAACATCCAGAGACTTTAGATAATCAGGGCGGATCTCATCCACACCCGGAGCCTTGCCATCATGGAGGCTACCAACCACCTAGGTGACCTCAGCCAGGGAGATGGATGTATCCGCCCCAACATCCTCAGCCTCTGCCTCTGAAACAGAGGACGTGACGGGGGGATTGAGGAGAACCTCAAAGTATTCCTTCCACCGCCCGACAATATCCCCCGTCGAGGTCAGCAGCTCTCCACCCGCACTGTACATGGTGTTGGCAAAGAACTGCTTCCCCCTCCTGAGGCGCCGGACGGTTTGCCAGAATTTCTTCGAGGCCGACCGATAGTCATGCTCCATGGACTCTCCGAACTCCTCCCAGTCCCGGGTTTTTGCCTCTGCAACAGCCCGGGCCGCGGCACGCTTGGCCTGCCGGTACTGGACAGCTGCCTCAGGAGTCCCCCGAACCATCATGGCTCGATAGGACTCCTTCTTCAGCCTGACAGCATCCCTTACTGCCGGTGTCCACCACCGGGTTCGGGGATTGCCGCCGGGACCAGCACCAGAGACCTTGCGACCACAGCTACGAGCCGCCGCATCGGCGATTGAGGCAGAGAACATGGTCCACTCGGACTCCATGTCCCCCTCCTCCACCGGGACCTGGGAGAAACTCTCCCGGAGGTGTGAGTTGAAAGTCCGTCTGACAGGGGGCTCAGCGAGACGTTCCCAGCAGACCCTCACTATACGCTTGGGTCTGCCAGGTCTGACCGGCTTCTTCCCCTGCCAGCGGATCCAACTCACGACCAGGTGATGATTGGTTGACAGCTCCGCCCCTCTCTTTACCCGAGTGTCCGAGACACGCGGTCGAAGGTCAGATGATACGACAACAAAGTCGATCATCGACCTCCGGCCTAGGGTGTCCTGGTGCCACGTGCACTGGTGGACACCCTTGTGCTCGAACATGGTGTTCGTGATGGACAAACTGTGACTGGCACAGAAGTCCAACAACTGAACACCGCTCGGGTTCAGGTCAGGGGGGCCGCTCTTCCCGATCACCCCTCTCCAAGTGTCACTGGCGTTTCCCACATGGGCGTTGAAGTCCCCCAGGAGAATAACGGAGTCCCCGGGCGGTGCACCGTCCAGTACCCCTCCCAAGGACTCCAAGAAGGCCGGGTACTCTACACTGCTGTTAGGCCCGTAGGCTGTCACAACAGTGAGAGACTTGTCCCCCACCCGGAGGCGGAGGGACGCGACCCTCTCATTCACCGGGGAGAACTCCAACACGTGGCGGCTGAGATGGGGGGCAATGAGAATAGCCACCCCAGCTCGCCGCCTCTCCCCGCGGGAAACTCCAGAAAAGTGGAGCGTCCAACCCCTCTCAAGGAGTTGGGTTCCAGAGCCCAAGCTGTGTGTGGAGGTGAGGCCGACTATCTCTAGTCGGTATCGCTCAACCTCCCCCACAAGCTCGGGCTCCTTCCCCCCCAGTGAGGTGACGTTCCACGTCCCAAGAGCTAGCTGTTGTGTGTGCGGACTGGGTCGTCGAGGTCTCCGCCTTCGACTGCTGCCCAGTCCTCTCTGCACCATGCCACCACGGACCCCTCTGCAGGTGGTGGGCCCACAGGAGGGACTGCCCACGTCGTCCATTCGGGCTGAGCCCGGCCGGGCCCCGTGGGCTAAGGCCCGGCCACCAGGCGCTCGCCTACGAGCCCCGACCCCAGGCCTGGCTCCAGGGTGGGGCCCCGGCTGCGCCATGCCGGGCGACGTCACAGATTTCATGTTTGTGCTGTCCATGGTGTCTTCTGGACTGCGCTTCGTCTGACTAAAATGTTAAAAGTTAAAATGAGAAAAAAAATGCATCAGCCTTTGGCCCTTGTTTGAAATAAATTAGAGGATTAATAGGACTTGAATACAGAAAATCCATCTTCAAGGCACTAGTGTCCACATCAGTTTTTAGCCATAGATATTATCTCCATGTATCATTCCTTCTGATCCTGTGTGTGTTTTTCAGACCTGAACATCCAGGGGGAGACTCATGACAGCATTGAAGACGCGCGCACAGCTCTGCAGCTCTACAGGAAATACCTGGAGCTGAGCCGCGGCTCTGACGACGTGAGGAAAGTGCTCAAGGGGTTATATGAGAAAGGACGAACACTGGACTGGAAGGTGCCAGAGGCTGAGACTGCGCCAGAGGGACAAGGTACTAATGAGGCTCAAAACACAAAGTTTATGTGTCGGACACAAGGTACCACACAAGGTACCACACAAGGTAACACACAAGGTAACACACTCATGAGATACAAAATACAGTCAGTCCCTCCAGGATTTCACAGGCAATAATTGTGATTGGATAAAATGCTTGATCTCGCGGGACATGTTTCTTAAAATTACAATGGCAAGTTGTGATTTTTCCCCTTGTAAAACATACTTCCCAAACCATTGCGGTGATTAGGGAGGAGTACTGCAGTCTTCTTGTAGCCCTCAGTTCTGCTCCTGCCTCTCAGTACAGTCTCCTCTGCAGCTGTATTTTACAGTGAATGCACAGCTTTTGACAGCTGCAGCAAAGCTCAGTCCCACAACGAACAGGTTTGATATCTCCGGGATCGCACTCAAGCTGGCATGAATTCATTAGGCTATGAAAGTGTAAAAAGTGTGTGTGACGGGTTTTATATCTTTAAAACATGCAACTGCTACTTCAAGGATTTTGCATCTTATTTTTAGAATACAACTAAAACGTTTATTTGTCAAACACACAAGTACCAAACTAATAAAAATGTAGATGTAAACAAAAATGCAAATTAATTACATTAAAGTTTTAAAAATACAAAGTACACACAACATTGTTATCTAGTAACATAAGGTACCACGTAAATGACAAAGAAGTTCATATGAACCCGTCCTTTACCAATTGAACATGAAACCTGCTGCTCTTGTCTGCGCTGACTCCCAGTCCCCTTTAAAGTCCAACATGAGAGCGCAGCTGTTCTGTTTACTGCAGTTATGGGAAACTACTTTAAATGATCTAACAATGTAACGTCCTGTGCGACAGGTGCAGCCGTGTTCCCCTCTGTGATGGGACTGTGAACTTCTGAGGACAAACTGAGTGCGACACATTCGGACGTTTATTCATGAATGCTGTAGAAGTCACTGTGCACAAACGTAGTAGAAACATACAGCTTTCTTTAATCTTAATCTTTAGATCACGTTCCTTTTGGAGTGAATGTAACCATGGAAAACCAGCTTTTAATTCAAACAGTTTTGATAAACCGCCAGATTAAGTATTATGTTAGGTTTTTCATTTCTAAGCAGATTGAAATGACAGACAACTTATCATCTGATTTAGAACTGTTATTTTTGAATGAATCATGATCATAGATTCTCCAAATCATGTTTTATTGCACATTCCTGTTCATCTGGTCTTTTTCGTCTTTAATCATGTAGAATGTGTTTTACTCTGCCCCAGCTCTGTACAGGTTCAACAGTTTTGTGTTGTGACGCTCACTCAGTATTTACCTTTTTATGAGACTTTGTATTTTCCATCATGCTTTGTTTTGTAATAAAATTATGTAAATCTTTAGCCCTGGTTGAAATTATTCCCGTTAACAGAGAAATAATTATATAGTTTAAGGGTAAAATGCGGCTTACGCTCTTATGTTAAAGAATGAAACCCAGAGTTCTTTTGCACCACTGACATGTTTTCATGAAGATTTACTGATGTTTTATGATCAATCTGAGCCTTGGGTTGCTTTCATTCTGAGCTGCTCTTTACAATTGAGACAGCTGCACTTTAGATTGACATTTAAGAATATTGTCTTCTGTAAAACAAGTTATCTATTTTGTGCAACTCATTCAGGATTTTTCTGATGTTTTATGATCAATCGGAGCTTCAGGTCGCTTTGTCTATAAGGTCAGGGTTACAGAGCCCTATGTAACCAAATTTAGCGACATAGGGCTGTGTGCGGTTCAACCTCTTGGAATGACTGCTACATTATTGGTGGGATAGAAGCGTTAATGTGAGTAATTGTAAGATTTGAGGAATGGCCTGAGGAGTTAGTTCCACTCTGTATCAAACAGTGTTTTGAGTCTGAGCAGCCTTACAGTTTGTTTGACACAACAGAAGACAGGACAGAGTCTGTATTGCAAACAGTTTATTTGTAGTAAATGAAAAGTGTGCCATTCTGTGAGGAGAGCGCAGGTTTCAAGGACGGTCTGAATGTCTTTGGTCCATGTTTTGGTGGAGGCATTTCAAAAGCATTGTTGGGAGACAAAGGCACTTGAGTTAACAGTTGTCTCTTATTTAAGAAAGGACACAAGAGCAAACGGGGGAAGAAAAAAAAATTCTATGTCACAACCTCCATTGTGCCTAATATGAATATCACATACAAAATGCCCCATGTGAGCACAAAATTATAACAGCTACATGTTTATACAGTTGGAAATCAAATACATGGGAATTGGAGGAGACAGAGCAGAGGCATCCCTTCAGGAAGAGATCAGAAAGAAAGAAGGCTCAGCAAGACAAAACATAATCTTTGGTGGAAAAACTAATTGCCTGGAATGTCAGAAAAGTTGAAAGCATACTACACTGCGAAACATGACAAAAAGCTTGATAACTTCTTGAAATGGACACATTTTAACTGAACAAGCAGCGTCAGTCTTTTTAGGCGAGAAATTTTTTACTTAAAAAAGGAGCAAAGTTATACTCGTTCCAAACTTGTTTTCATTTCAAGCACTTCAAGTCATTTTTTGCAGTGGTGTAAACTGGGGGAAAATAAAGACATCAGTTCCAGCACTTAATTTTACACGAGCTGGTGGAAAAAGTGCCAAATCTCGAATTCCTTCAACGCACTGTAAATACAAGGAGCGGTTAAGGATTTCTCAGAAGGCCGCTTCCCGTTTCTCTGCAGCCGGAGAGTCACGTTATAATCAACAGGGCTGTATATTAACGTCAGCTCAAAGTATGTATGACAACTTTATTTTCCACTTTTTGACTTGTGGCAGCAATATTTTGTTCTAAAAATAAAAATAAAAATAGTATAAAAAGTGAAAGAAAATCATCCATCAAAATGTTGGCCTAATTTAGGGGTTTTAAACACAAAGATGTTTTATTTGTTAAATAATTTTAGATAATTTTCATCTTTAACCCGAAATTGTGTTGAAATATATCGAGCCAACTAATATTGCGTTTACTTCTTTTTCTAAAACACAGGAATCTGTCATACACACTTTGTTTTGTCCACACAAGTCTTGCAAGAATGTTCCTAGTTTTATTTTGTTTTCAGCAATCAACAATCGGTGACAATTAGCTCAACATTCGTGCTTACTCTTACCATGTTCCCAAAATAAAAAAAACTGCCATGGTGCAAAAGTGTGTGTGCACAAATATATATAAAAACAAAAAAAGAGTGGCCTTTCTTGTGGAAATATCACAAGCAACATTCATCATTCGTATGGATTAAGAACATAAAAATAAAAAAAAGATTTGGAGTGGAAGCCATTGTTGACAGCGTTGAAAAATCTTGTGGAAAAGTATAAACGTAACCCTCACAAGTCGAGGTTAATATGAAGCCCTGATTATAAACGCTTTCCACTGTGACAGAACTTTTACAAACTCAACCCAAAAACACTCCCATATTCAGTATAAAAGCTGCAAGAAAAAAATTACAATAATTTCACATAACTTTCTCCGTTATTCCACAACTTCCAATAACTTCATGTAGTAAAGTTACAAGAGAAAAAAATCAACTTCTTATGACGGAAAGAAAAACTGAACCAAAGTCAAAGCGATAACGTAACATCAAGTTTACACTCCGACTTTCATATTTACAAAGAAAAAAAAAGACCGGTCACTTTACCTTTACTTAAGCAAAGAAAGAAAAAAATAATATTTTCATGATTTCTAAAAAGAGGTAATTCACCAGTGTTTTGTCCACTAATGAATGGAACCAGCCACGAGCCACAGTCCAGATCGTCTGATCGTTGAGTGAATATCAAAGAAAAGTTGGGGAGAGCAAAAACAGAGTTTTAGAGTCTGCAATGTCACTTTAGTGTCACAGTGCGGCGTTAAATGCAGCCTGCCACCAGTCCAAGATGTAAATCAAATTTCACAGTATGAAAATTATAATTAAGGTACTTTTTGTGGAGAAATTAAACTATGCTTGTCTTGTGAACGCCACAAAACAATGGAGCACCGTTGCAAGTCGTGTCAAAAGCTCTGGTCGTAACTTTTCAAACCCAGAGAGGAAATACAAAACATGCAACACTGGGGTATTGACACAACTTGCAAAAGAAAGAGTTTGTAAGAAAGTAGTATCCATATAATGTTACCGATAGTTTTAAAACTGATTGAACAGGCATCGTGTATCAAGTTTGGCATTTTTTTGTTTTTTCTTATTTTCTTAGTTATGGGGGAAGGCTTTTTGCAGCTTGCACCTCTCACACAAGTATAAACTGTGCGTTGCCAACACAAAACTATTTCCAACATCCACTTCGTAAGAAAAAGGCAATAGTGAAACGACTATAAAAAGGCAAGCATGTCTCGTATATACCATGTTAAGTGCATATATATATTTATATATATATATATAAATCAAACAAAGGACAATGGAGGGAGTTGAGCACATTTCCAGCTATGATACAGCGCACGGTCTTTGTGAAAAACCGTCTTTGCATCTGGTTTTTTCCAATAATAGTCTACAAAAAGGTAACGAGCCCTGTGCTGACTAGAAAAGGAACATTGGCCCCAAAAAGGCAAGAATTCACAGAGGAAAAACCAAGTCGTCCTTTCACCGAATAATACACCTACACCCCGGTGTCCGAGGTCTCGTAGCAGTCTTAGAATAAGCTTCAATTTACACCGTGATTGATATGTTTCACCAAAGATTAACAAGAGCCTGTAGTGTAAAACTGCAAAAATGGCCAAAAAAAAGTCAAGTGCTTGATAAGTGACTTTGATTTGCCCGTCTTTTAAAATGTGTAAACGTATTGTGAAGTAAAAACGCTCTCAAATCAAAATCAACATTCCCTTGTTCAAGCCATTTCACTTTTTCCTGGTCATTTTTGCAGTGCAGAAAATAAATCCTGGGGCTTTAATGGAAAAAAAGGGAAGGTCGCTGAAAAACCAAAGCAGGAAAAGACTGAATAAATGCGAGTTGTGTTGAACAGTCTTCTGATGCACAGAAGTGAGCCTTCTCAAAAGAGCTAAAGATAGAAGTGTCCGTTTGAAAGGAGAAAGGAAAAACTGAGGAGAGAGAAAAAGGGATTGAGAGTTGTTTTCCAGTCTGAAGGACGGCAGCCGCCGCGGATCAGGAGAAGGTTGAAATGAACGATTAAAACCGATTCTGATTCTGAGTGGCCGTTTTGAGCAGTTTGATAGCACTTGTTTCTACCATTGCATGATTCTGTACTTATTTTTCATTTGGAATCGAGGAGATTGGACTTGGGTAAATCATATTGTTTTAGTTTTAGCCAAATGATGAATCTATTCAAAACATATACTCTGCAATAAAGTGCTAGATTCATTGGTATTCATCTTCATTTGATGAAGAGGCAACCCTCATCTCCAAGCGTTTTTAAACAGTGTAAAAGAATGAAACCTGCTCAAAACCTCCCACAGCGACAGAACTACTACAAATCGACTCATCTGAACACATTCACCCTGGTGGCACTACAGTCCCGGTCAGGTGGTGAAAACGTTATGTAAACTGTATTTCTATTCTTCATTGAGAGGGGGTTGCAGACGCGCAGGCCTCAGGGACAGGGCGTTCGCGGGGGTCTCTGGGGAAGCCCGTTGTGCTGGTGGGACGGGCCCCTGGAGCTGTGCCCGTGCGGCTGTGAGGTCTGGGTGCTGTCGGCCTGGGATCTATGCGGACCGGCGTGGTGGTTGTTGCGGGCTTGGTGGGAGCTGCCGTTGTATCGCTGTCCCCCGCCGCCCGAGTGGAAGCCCTGTCCGTGGAACGTGCGCCTGTTCCCCTGGAAAATCTACGAACAGAGAGATGGAGTCACGTCACTCTTGTGTGTACTTAGGGCACTTGTATAAAGTATTACATTTAAAACATTTTATTGTCTGCACCTTTGAGCCAAAGCAAATTCTTAGTTTGTGACTTCCTGTTACTTACCATGGACATAAACATAAATCTGTTTTTTTGCTATATTTTGCGTACATTTACATTTGTAAAACTAGTAAACAAGACAGACAATAATTTAGCTTTTAATGAAGTATATTGAGATACTGTGAGTGCCAAGTTTGACGTAATACTTGTGCAAGCCACTGTAAATAAGAATAGTTTGTATGCATAACAGTACATGACACTTCATTCATCTGCAAATGAACCGAGGAACCTCGGTCCCTCCATATCCACTGTTGTCCCAGTTAAACCTCTTAAAATAATTTGAGTAAAGAACACCCTTGGTTCTCCCATCACCATGAAGGTCAGCCTCTCGCACCTCGTCAGGAAGTGCTCTGAGACTTGTGTTAAAAGCACTCAGGAGTGCAGCCTCTTTCACACCTCAGTGCCTCGCTCTCAAGCTAAACCTCATCCACCACAAACACCACATCACTCAGCATTCACATTCAACGAGGAGTTCTTATGAAGGGGATCCAGCTGAAGATCGACAACACTTGAAACACACTGTAGACATGACTATTCTAGCAGCAAACAGGATTCTAATGGTGAACATTGTGTTAGAAAACTGTTGTGCAAGAGGACTCCTCTGTATCAGTGCTCACAGACACATTATATTGGATTATATTATATTATATTGGCACCTGTTTGGTGGGAGGGGGGCGGTGTTCAGAGCTCTGAGAAGGAGGAGTTTCCTGTGGTCCGGTCACAGAGGAGGAGGTGGAGCTACAGCGGGACCGGTTTGAGTAGCCCGTGTTCGGATGGTACACTGCAAACAAGAGACCGTTCAAAGTCACTCATAATAAAAGCCATGTCGTCTGAATTGTAAGTGATTTGTCGATTACCTGTCACGTTACTTTAGTCAAACAGATTGTAGATGTGTAGCTGGATGTCGAGTTTGTTTATGGTCTGGTTTGGACTTGATCTAATGTCTACGTGTTCTCTTCATTCATTTAACCATTTAATATTGTATTCAACAAAATAAAAACTTTGTCAGTACCAGTAATATTGGTCAATGTTGCTGAAAGCAGCGCATACTTTGAAGTCATTAAAGATACATTAAACTCAATGGTAATTTAAAGGATTTGAAAGAACAGTGTGTTATACCTGATCCAAACCCTGTGATGCTGGTCTTCAGCGGCTCGAGGTCGAAGGAGAATCGCACAGCTTTCCCCAGATCTTCATCGTATTTTCGTTCACTAACAAAGTGCTGCACGCAAACATGAGCAGGTTTAGACACTCGCTCAGGGGCCAACAGGGGCCGACAGGGGCCAACAGGGGATAGGCACATTCTGGACCTTATACACTCAGGTCTGATCACGTTTAGAAACTAAACACAACTTACAGACTTCATCGAAGGATCTGTTTGAATTCATTACAATACCTTCATTTAAGGAAGTGAACAGTTAAAAACCGTGTACAAACAATTGTGTGGAGAACATGAATCCAGTAGAGGGCGCAAGGTGTACAGCGACAAGAAGTGGTCAAGTGAAGTTTAAACCTTCCATTGAAGCACTGAATGGACTGGAGAGCGACATAATCTAACAAATCCACAGAGGGAGCAGAAATTACATTTTCTATAAACATGAAAATGCTGCTAAATCAGCATAGGACAACAGCTGTATGGACTGGAGACATAGAGTTTGGTAGTAAATCTATTTAAGTAAATACCATCAAATTAAACATGACTGAAACAGGATTGCAACGTTGCAGGTGCCCTGAAGTCCATGAGGCTGAATGTGGAGCAGTGCGGCTTTTCCAGTCACACTGGATCCTAGTTTGGACCCTAGCCTGGACCTTAGTCTTGATCCATTAAAAACATTGCCTCCTGATGTGTGGGGAGATTTGGTGATTTATCTGATAAACATACAACTTTGTACCTTTATATCTGCACGTAGTTCTGTGAGCTGCTCCTCAGACATCGAGGCTGATTTTTCTGTGAGACGTCTGAGCTCCTCCGCTCTCTTCTGCCGCGCGTCCAAAATCATCACTGCAAAACACAGAGTGTAACTAATATACCATTTGTATATTGTGTAATTGCCCTAACCATTCTAATCTTTGCCAATAGATTTGAGAGTCTTAGACAATAGAGTAAACATTTTAAGTTAAAGGCGAAGTCAATGTTTATAATACATTAATATACAGTGGGGCAAAAAACTATTCAGTCAGCCACCAATTGTGCAGGTTCTCCCACTAAGAAAGATGAGGGAGGCCTGTAATTTTCATCATAGATATACCTCAACTATGAAAATCCAGAAAAACACATTTATTTGCAAATTATGGTGGAAAATAAGTATTTGGTCACCTACAAACAAGCAACATAGACCTGTAACTCCTTCCTCTGTCCTCCACTCGTTACCTTTATTAATGGAACCTGTTTGAACTCATCAGTTTGAAAGACACCTGTCCACAGCCTCAAACAGTCAGACTCCAAACTCCACTATGGCCAAGACCAAAGAGTTGTCAAACGACACCAGAAACAACATTGTGTACCTGCACCAGGCTGGGAAGACTGGATCTGCAATAGGTAAGTAGCTTAGTGTGAAGAAATCAACTGAGGGAGCAATTAGTAAGAAAAGGGACGACAAACGAGACCACTAATAATCTCCCTCGATCTGGAGTTCCAGGCAGGATCTCACCCCGTGGGGTCAAAATGATCACAAGAACGGTGATCAAAAATCCCAGAACCACACGGGGGGACCTGGTGAATGACCTGCAGAGAGCTGGGACCAAAGTAACAAAGATTACCAGTAACACACGACAGGGAATCATATCCTGCAGTGCCAAACGTGTCTTCCTGCTTCAGCCAGTACATGTCCAGGCCCGTTTGCTAAAGAGCATTTGGACGATTCAGAAGAGGATTGGGAGATGGTCATATGATCAGATGAAACCATATTAGAACTTCTTGGTAAAAACTCAACTCCTCCTTTTTTCTGCAAAGGGACCAGGACGACTGATCAGTTTAAGTAAAGAATGAATGGGGCCATGTATTCTGAGATTTTTAATGAAAACTTCCTTCCATCTGGGTCTTTCAGCATGACAATGATCCCAAACACTGCCCGGGCAACGAAGGAGTGGCTTTGTAAGAAGCCAGTCTCCAGACCTCCTCCCCATAGAAAATCTTTGGAGGGAGTTGAAAGTCAGTGTTGCCCAGGGAAAGCCCCATAAAGTCACAAGCTCTAGAGGAGATCTGCATGGAGGAATGGGCCAAAACACCAGCAACAGTGTGTGAAAACCTTGTGAAGACTACAGAAAACGTTTGTTATATTCCCTTTGTTGGCAATGACAGAGCTCAAATCTGCACATAAATTCTTGTCAAACAAATAACAGGCCTTCCTCATCTTTTTAAGTGGAAGAACTTGCACAATTGGTTGCTGAATAAATACTTTTTTACCCCACTGTAAAACCTATAACCAGCTACAATTTTCTCATTACATTTAGGGAAACTATTATTCATTATGTTATTTGATAGCTTGAAAGTGTGAAAAGATACTCAACATGAAAACATCCATTATAGTTAGGTTTAAGTTAAGAGAGAGTCAGGATGTATAATCTTCATGTACCGTCCATAGGTTTCATTTCTTATGCAGCATATTTGTGTAACAGCTGTAAGTACAAAGTGCAGCTGACTCAGCACTGCGGCCGAATACAGGTCAGAGATAAAACTGCAGATACGGCCTTCACGGAATACAGCACTTTGACACTCGCAACAAGAATCAATCAACGCACAATTTTTCCAACCAAGCAGAATTAACAGGTTTAAACATCAGCGCAGCAGCGATGATACTCTGTAATCTGTGCAGCAAAGACTTTGACGAGGGAAGTGTCTGATAACGGAGAGCAAACATGAGATCAGGCCTGGAGCTGCCTCAAAGCACAGCTGATTGTCAGGGGTTATGGAGCCAATAAAATGATTTAAGACCACAGCATCTCTGTCTGTAACATTCAGACAGATTCAAAACTGTTACGGTTCAAAAGTTACAGAAGTGATATTACAGGAATATTGTAGGAGTGAACAAACACCTTCAAGATTTAGGGAAAAAAAGCATAAAAACATATATGAGCAACTTTCCAAATGTCTTTTGAACATTAGACAAATATTCAAACAATTTCTAATGAGCAATAGCACCCGAGAAAGAACCAACTACTAAAGCCGACCTACGCCTAGAGGCAGAGTTCCATTCCTCTAAAAAGAAATCCTGATGGATTTGGAAACTATCCAAATCCTCCTGTAACATTTTGAGTATGTTGTTGCTTAAAGACAAACAAATACTGGTGATCACAACCTCTTAAGTCTTTACTTTTTGTGAGCCACACTAGGATTTTAGCCATAACTCGTGCTTTACCTTTCACCTAATCTCAATTAGATTCATTTCTCAAACCCATATCACATAATTCTAAAAGCAGCAGGGGGGTTTTGAGAAGGCTTCTCTTAAGTCGTATAAAATGTTTGGTCCATTTTCAAATCCGAGCACACCTTCATAAAGACAGCCTTGAGTCTCCCCTGACACCTGACACTATTCAGTTTTCCAGCAGAGAACACTTCACAGAGAAGCAGCAGAGACTCTGGCCTAGAAAATATGCAGTCCTGCTCCGTCATGTTACACGCTGCTGCACTAGCAAACCAGGGTCTACACCAAATACACCCTGTCAAAATTACAGTCTTTGTAATGAGGTGATTTCCTCCAACATTCTCTTTGTTTGTGCCTCTTTTTCCATCTTATAACAGTTTGAATATATGATCACTTTTTGTCTATTTCCAATTTAAATGTAAATCAATTTTTTTTTTTTTACGCAATTGGCCGTGTGATATTGCTCTCATTACATGCCCAGATTTAGAGCTCCTCTTCCTGTCAGTCACAGAATGGGTTAATGTGACGTGGGCTGTGGCTTGTGCTGACGCCCGAATCAACACAGGAAAGGTTCAATAGATAAACCTCTGCTGTGTCTCCTTTATGAGTGACCAGTCTGCCAAGGGCCTGAACGTTGTGATACTAGATCCATGAGCTCTAAGGGCAGCTTTTCCTCCATCATTTCCTGACCCTCACTGGTGACTGAAATAAGTTGGTGGCAACTCCTTAAATTTGACAAAGCTCTTGTTTAACTTGCTATGGTTTCCCCGCGCTCAAAACACTGACTCTGGCTTCCCGGCTCCCGACGAGGCACACTCATATCTATCAGCCTCACGCACACTGAGCTGCTGTACTTAGACATCAGATTAGATACATTTTACAACTGCGTGTGTCGCACAGAGGCTTCTTCAACAACATTATTTGCATTCAGTGGTTGCCACAGTGAATCGCCTGGAGGCCCGTCTTCAGAAGTTGCTCGGCTTGGTCAGGACGAGAGGAGGAGGAGGGCTTTACCTATGGTGCATGCTTTTGATGGTGGGGAAAACCGGAGCACCCGGAGGAAACACTCCCCCAAACTCTACATAGAAAGGTCTGGGCTGACACAGGATTGAACCTGAAGCACGAGTACTACCCACTCATCCCACTGTGACACTCAAAAGATGTTCGCACCATGACGGAGCTTGAAATGCCTTCTACATAAGTGGTTTTCAGACAAATTTGTTGTTTGTTCTTCTGGATGTTGTGATGCACATGAATGTTGCATATTTACCACAATTTGTCACAATATGAAACACAAGAACGAGCAACTCAAGCTCACACAAGACCACTGCTCAGATGAAACACATATTTTTTGCTTTAAATAGCGTATGAATAAACAAAGTTAACTCAATCTTTCTCCAAGTCCTAAAAAGTATGTATTTACAAACAACTAAAACAAGATGACTTTCTCGGCTGGTGCATGTAGCTGTAGCCTGGGGCCTCTGCTGCAGCTGGGAAGGAAACTGAGACTAGCTGTTCCACAACAATCTCTTTCACCTCCTGCCTGTGATTTAGGTCAAACTCTGCTGCACTCAGTCAGGTGCTCAGATTATGGCCCGCGGGTGGCATGTACAAACTCACACTCAGGTTTGGTTGTTAAATAAAGCACTTACTCGATTCAGCTTTCACTTTGTCCATTTCTCCCAAGAGCGTGACTTCTCTGTCCATTAAGCTGAGGATAAACAAGACAGGTGTGTGTTAACTTACGGTCACCATTAAAAGAGCACTTCATAGCTTTCTGAACATCTCCTTGGTCCAATGGATCCCTCACTTACAGGTCCGATCTGTAGGTCTGCTCAATTATTATTATTATTATTATTTTTTCACAGTCCATCCTATGCACATGTGTGAAAATAATTTGGGTGATACACCATACAACACTCAAAACTAAATTATAGCCATTTCGTGCATAATGTCACCTCATGTGAAACGCTTGGATCTGTGCTCCTCTCCCTGTGAGCCCGCCTCCCCCTGCCCGCACGGTGACATAGCATCACGCTAAGTTCGAAGTAAACAAACCAGCAAATGCTAACTGTACAGCTTTTGCTGTTAGTCATTTCATGGACCAGACGTTGTACTCGGAGAGAGGCTGCATGACCATAGACGGCGTTGATTCGTCGGTTCAGTTTCTCACCTCTTGGAGGCGGGCTTTTGGATTGGTGCATGTCACGATTTGAAACAGCTTGTTTCTGTGCCTCTCAAGAATGAAAGAGAAGGATCGCTCTCTTACTAAAGCTTGAGGGAATCAATGAAAAAACTACTTTGGGCATTTTTATGAAGACCAAATAGCACTGACAGTAATCGTGTTTAAACCAGAGAAAAGTCAAAAAGCGTAATATGGCAACTTTAAAGAATTATATTATTAGAATGTGATTCAAGTTTTATTTTATGGCCTAAAACATTTATACCACCAACAATGTTATACAAACAGACCGTTATATATATATGCATAAAAATATATGCAAATATATGCTTTTGGCTTGGTTTAAAACATTTATGTCTGACATTTATGACTGTTTGTGTTGTAAACTAGTTTACTTATGTGGTCCAAAGGAAAGTTATGTTGAAAAGCCTCATTCTGTACAGACCAGCTCAAATAATAAACTTTTGTCAGTAAATTTAATTTCGTTTACCCATCTTTAGAGGACTGCTACCTATTAAGATTGGTTTCGTTTCCTGCCAAGTCAGAAGTCTACAAATTTCAATTATAAAACTATAATATGATACAGCAAATATCGTACCTTTCTGGGAAAAAACAAATCTGACCCTAGGACAAAATTGGCTTACAAGCACAACTTACAGGCAGTGACAAATAATGCATGACATCGTAGAGTGACTGAAGTATTATTACAGCTCAGTGTCAGCTCAGATACAATAAAGCTCTGTGTAAACAAATAGCTTTTTACAGAAGGCTATAGAGTTGGGTTACACAGGTGAAACTGCTCACAGTGATAAACTATTTTTATTGTGTCGACTTCAGAGGATGAGCACAATTCATCTGAAATACTCACCAGCTCTGGAGCTCTGCGAACGTCTGCTTCATTTTCTTGATAGAGGAATCCATCTCCTCCTTCACCACCATCCGGTAACGAGTGAGCGATGCTGTGCACCGCTGCAAGTCCTTCACCGAGCGGTCGATGGTTGAAGCTGTGGCAACAAAGTCAGTATCTTCCTCATTCATATCACACCAGGTATGTAAGGAATTGTATTATTTAAAAAAATAAACAACACAATTCTATTGTAATGTATTAGTTACACAATTGGCATAACTAAGCGGTTTCCCTCATCTCATTAATTTTAATGCAACCATAATGTGTTCATTATTAGGGTTGGGCATCGTTTGCAATTTTCCGATTCCGATTCCGGTTCCGATTCTCACTATCGATTCCTGTTCTAAACGATTCTCGATTCCGATTCTTTGAGGTGCAGGAGAGAAAAAAAAAAGATAATTTTTTTTTTTTTTATCAAATTTTATTTCATAAGTACTTTTCCTGCCATAAGGCAACAGAAAGTGCTTTACATAAAAACAAATTAAATTAAAAAACAAGGAACACGAACACACACACACACACACACACACACACACACAAGCGGTGTTTATGTGGCACCGCCCACCATCATCTCAGAGCGGCTGAAATGTAAACACGTCTCGGTTTGCCCCCCTCCGGGGTGGAAAGCTATGCACAATCAGAATGTAACCTGAAGTAACTAGCTTCCCGAGACACACACGGTACAGTAGGTGGCGGTATGCACCTAAGCTGCTGGTTGCCACCCGCCAATAATCGACAGAAGAAGAAGAAGTAAACACGTCTCTGTAAACCGCTGAAAAACGGCTAAAGTGAGAATACTGGAGGATTATCGTTGGACGGACTGACAGATTTGACCAAAGCACAAGGACTCGTGCTCGTGCATCGTGTTTTTCGGAGTTTTTTACGGATTATTACATGGAGGAGGAGCAGGACTTTTTGCGGTCCTCGGCAGGTGGACAGCGTGTTTCCCTTCTTCATAATTACAAAGGGCCTGACCAGTAACTTTAAGGTAAGGAACATCAGTTTTGGATGTGTTTGTAAACCGAGTGATGAAACTGATGTAGCGTGAGTTTGGGGAAACTGCACCGGGCTAGCACGAGTGTTCAACCGGTCAATACGCCCGTTAAACCTCGCTGTCTGGACTCTAACTTAACCAAATAATATCTGAATTAGTCATTTGACGGATAAATGTTTGCTTCCTTTACCCCTTGACTCAGTTTTATCTGCGTTTGTGGAAAATGTGAAGATACAAGCGTTGAGAGGTTTATTTGCGATGGCAGGAGTTAACGGTGTGGCTGAAGCTAAATGTGGCAAATACTGAGCAAACACGAGCGCGCCGTCTCATAAGAGCTTAATTCACTGAGTTTTTCACAAAGCTGGGTGGACAGCTGCTAAGCATTTTTGAAACGTGTCCCCCCCCCACCTTCCAAACGCTTCCGACGCCGCTGTGCGGGCCGCATCCGGCATTTAGGAATCGAAAAAAGAATCAAAATACAAACGTCTTCTTAACGGTTCCGGAACCGCACTTTAGGAACCGGTTCCAAATAGGAACCGGTTCTCGGTGCCCAACCCTATTCATTATGGTCCCTGTGCGCTACTCTTAATTCCTTGTGTGGATGTAGAGCCAAGTCCAGCCCACAAGGTGTTCAACAGGACAAACCACTTTTGAGAAGACTTAAATTGTGATAAAATAAATGTTTTGTGGAAATCAAATTTCCACAGATATAGTGAAATTCAGATGCCTGATCAAACATGCCATGGCTATTCTGTGGACTCAGTGACGCTGCCCATCTCCTCCCCGCTCCTTGAGAAATGTTTGATTACTTTTGACATGTCCGCACTTACTTTCATACGTCAAAATGTCCAGAAAAACTAAAACTACAAGTTGAAGTGAGTGATGTTTAGTGTTACCTATTTTCTTGGCCCCTTGTTGACAGTCGTCTGTGGGGGCAGAGGGGGTGTGTGACGGGGGAGCAGCTCTCTGTCTGGGCTTGTTTCCGCGTGGACCCTGGTGATTTCGGCTTTCCTGAACACACGCAGGACTCGGGGCGCTGCACTGGCTCTCTGCTTCTGCCACTGCGACAAAAACACACAACATAAGGCAACATCGAGTCAGTTTTTATAATTACATCATAGTGTATAGTTCCTGTGCGAATACATTGTGAAATATGTAATAAAGTCTCGAGAATTAAATCACATATTTGATCTTATTCACAGGGGAGAACAGGAGAGCACATAGAACTGGGAATCTCTACACAGAAGGCTCCGCGCTGCCTGTCAAACTCCAAAGCCCGTCTTGGGCTGTGACGCAAGAGCGCCAACCACAGTGCCATTGGGTTACGCATCTTTACACCTTTGTTTTTAAAGTTGGATGTGAACAAAGTAGCACATTGAGTCACTGCATTTACATCGAGATTATGGACAACGAATCCCGCTACTCCTGTAGCATTTTAGAGACGCTCATTCACAGGCATTTTTAAATATTATTATACGAGGAGGAAAACATAGGCAAAAAAACATCCAGCATTTGATTTGAGGAAGGTTTGTTTAGCTCATCTTCTGTATTTTTTTGGTACGTTCACTTATCTTACCTCATGACTTTTATTGAGAATAGGTTCGCGTATTCTTTTCAGTAGATTGAGTTCTACTTGGATGCAAGAGGTTAAGGCCGATATTTCAAAAACATAATTTCCATAAGTCTGATTTATTGGTAAATATTTGCTCATAAAAAAAAGCTGTTTTCCCAGAATCCGCTGTGGTCTGCTCAGGTCTCCTGGGAATATAGGTGCTTTCACACCGCCGACACTGGAACGCTGACACCTCGCGCACCAGATGCACATTCTCTGGTTTTCAGACGGAGGGGTCTTCACACCAAGAAGTCCTGGCCTGCGGTGGCGCGTGCCGGCTAGCGGCTTTTTGTGTAAAGTTCTTCTCCAATAATGCAGCTCTGTAGCGTCTCGGTGTCCAGAGACCTTCAAGAGACTTTATATAATAGTAGTATGTGTTCACGGAGGTGCGCCATGCTTTATTTTATTATTAAATGGTGCTTCTGCATCGGCGAACACGCTCGAAGCAGTTGCATAAAGTCACGAGAGCATGAATACGTATATGTTCACGAGCACCATGTCCCCCATTGTCAACCCTGATTTTAGTCCTGGTGTAGCTCATGTTTTGGCTGTTTACGAGTATGTTCAGTCTGCTCGCTCAGACCGCTAATGTCCCCGTGACCACTTTGCGGCTCTCTGGTCGCTGCACGAGCGTCCGAGGAAATGCTCAGCAAAATGTATCTTGTGCGTGCGTTGATTTTCCGCTCCTGCGCCTCTGCCACGCCTTTACCGCGCAGTCCGTGCGTGTGTCCCGGGACGCACATGCAGTTTGACGATCAAACGCGTGTCACCATTGACTTTGCATTGAAAGTTGACGCAACGCATGATTCGGTGTGAAAAGCAGCATAGGGCACGGTCACATAGGTTTTTACAAACGAACTTGTACGGTTGGTCGCCACAGGGGTGAGAGGACGGCTCGCGGTCACAAGAGTTTATTTTTTTCAACTGTGCCAGCCCAAATGCGCTGTAGTACTACGCTCGGTACAGCTGGTGTTTAGCACTTTATTTGAACTTTAGACCATTCAAACAAAAGAAGCGGTGTGTGATTTGCATGAGCTGTGGCTATGATCTGCAAAGCATGGCACTATTGAAGCATCGAGGACGTTGCGATGGATGAGGCAAAACTTATTGAAAATCCAACATATCCAGGCTTTTTTGAAAAAATAAACGGCAGATTTACGATCAGGAAACAATGATTTCAATTTAATACATGAAAAAAAATTACACACATTTGTTGATAATCATTAACATCACCAAGGTCTACAAGCATATATCAATACATAAATATATTTTTTCTTTGTATTTCCAATTGGCAAACGGACCACACCGCACATCGACGTACGTAAAAAATAGGATTGTTTCCATTTTGTCCGTCCGCGTCTGTTACACCTTGCGTGGATGCACTGCTACCTACACGCGTCACACGGACGCATGTCGCGGGCAGTGGAGCCACTTCCATTCACCCTCATGGAGAAAACAGAAACGGCGATGCAACGAACACGTTTGGACGGATACATAGTACGTTTTACACAGCCAGTGGAGTCGGGGCTTTAGAGTAAAGAGCGTAAGCGTTGAGAAATGAATTAAAGAGAATGAAAGAATGAAAAGTGTTGAGTACGAGCAGAGCGACTGGAGCCAGGCAGGATATAAGTGAATGTTGATTAAATAAAGTGTGATTGAACGTCTGAAGTGTTATTGCAAAAGCACCACACTGTGACAGCGAGGGTCGGGACAGAAGGGAGTTTGCTTTGGCTCTGGAGGGACAAGTCTCCCCAGGGCCCCACGACCACGGTCCGGGTTTAACACAAGTGTTACGTGCATCAGAGTTGCCTTTCCCTGTGTGCTGCTGTTCTCTCCCTTCTGCTTCTGTGTGAAGGTGCTGTGGGCGTGCCCTGGAGGAGGATGGTGCATGATTGGTGGAGTGGAGGCAAATTGGAGAGTATTTAAACAGGGAGTGTCTTGGGCGGCTCTCTCTCTCTCAGGTGCCAGAAGCTGCCAGGTGGTAGCCTAATTTGTTTCTGTGTGGAGGTTTGGTTAGGTGAGTTTGGTGCTAAGTTACGTTTACAACACGTAGATACTTTTGTTAGATTCCCTAGCTTATCAGTTGTGACCACCCTTGTTGTTTTGAGTTCTACTCCACTTTTCTTTAGATAAAACAGAATAGACATTTTTTATTTCATTTCTTTTATTAGACTAGCCTGTGAGTTAGGCCTCTTTTGTTATATTTTACTTTTGTTCTTTTGGCACAACTGGGCGACGCCACTCCTCCCACCACTGTTATTTCTTTTTAGTTTGGCTCTTAAATAAAGACATTGCCAAACTCCTTAAGTGACTCTGTGTTTCAATGATTGTTTCACATATCCCTGTTATGACTGGTGTGGGTCCTTAACTGGTCATAACAAAAGTGGGGGCTCGTCCGGGATCATTTGAAACAATCATTGTCTCAGTGTGGTCTTTAGTGTTTAGAGAGAGAGCAATAGGCCTGTCGCGATAGTCAATAAATCAATTAATCGCACGATAAATAAAATTTGCTCAATAACTTTTCTGGCCGCGATAAATCCCATTTGCATGCTTGTTTGTTTCCCCCGTCTCTCTCTCCCCCGTCTCTCTCGGGTCAGAGAGCCGCAAAGTGGTCACGGGAACATTAGCGGTCTAGCAAGCAGACGGAAATTACTCAAAAATACAAAATACAGCCAAAACAGGACCTAAACCAGGACTTAACCAGGATTGACAATGGGGGACACAGTAGTTGTGAACATATGCCGGCAGCTGAGTTCTCATTCAGGCTTGATTAGTGACTATACTAGCGCAGCTAGCGTTAGCGTGTTCGCCGATGCAGAAGTACCGTACCATACCAATAAAATAAACTTATGGCGCACCTCCGTGAACACATACTGCTGTTATATAAAGTCTCTAGAAGGTCTCTGAACACAGAGATGCTGCAGACTTGCATTCTTGGAGTAGAACTTTACACAAAAAACCCTCTAGCTTAGCTGTTAGCATCAAAGCCCGCCCCGCTACTTCCGGTGGGCGCTACCGCAGCAGGACTTCTGTACGCCCCATTGGTGAACCCACATGTCAGTCACTTGTCATTCGCCTGGTGTGTGGGGAGGTGGGACTACTCCTGAGAGATCCTGTCTTAAGCCACACAAAGTCAACATGTTGGTATTTCTTTCTCGTAATCTGCCATAAAGTCTGAGAAATTATTGACATTTGAGGCATCTGTTTCATATTTTCTTTACAAAGGTCCTGGCAGTTTTATTCCTGGTCATTTTTTTTTAAGAGACTGAGTATTTTATTTATTGTTTTTGGTTGTTTGTTAATTTATTGTGTTCTAGCGTTAAATATTTGTTAAAAATAAAAGTTTATTTCTCTTTGAAAAGGTGTACCTGCATTATCATTGTAATCGATGCAAATGATCTCAGAACGGCAATATAATCGCTTATCGCAATAATTTCTGAGACAATTAATCGTCCAGCAAAATTTGTTATCGTGACAGGCCTAGAGAGCAATCATGGTGTTTATTCTACAGGATTTCATTGAGACTCCCTCTCTGGAAATCCTTGACCGGTGTCGCAAAGACGACCTTTTGTGCATTGCGGCTCACTTTGGTGTTTCTGTCCAGAAACAGAGCCTTAAGAGAGAGATTAAGCGGGTACTCATTGAGGGGCTGATCACTCTCGGAATCCTGTCTCCCAACCCCAGTGACCCGCATGGTGAAGTGGCTTCGGAGGGGTTTGAGGACGACCAAAAGGATGTCCTTTCTGAACAGGATGTGGTGACGGAGGTCACTCCAGTACGAGTAAGGGAGGTGGCGAACCCTCCGGGAACCCTCCCTCGTTTTGAGCCTTTCTCTCCAGATGCGGGGGTGAGTGGTGTGTCTCCGCCTGGGACCGGACAAGGCCAAGCCAGTTCCACAGCCAAGATTAAGCTTCGCCTGGCTCGTCTTCAGCTTGAGACAGAGGAGAAGGTGCGTAAGGCAGACTACGAGCTCAAGTTGCAGGTACGCAGTCTTGAGATACAAGCTGAAAAAGAGGTGAAGTTACGTCAGCTTGAGTTGGAGGCAATGAGAGTTACAGCTGCAGAAGTTGATTCTCACAGATCCGAACCCGCTTCACAGGCTGAAACGGGGCATCCAAAGCATTCCTTCGACGTCACAAAAAACATAGCGCTAGTTCCGATTTTCCGTGAACGGGAAGTCGATGCCTATTTTGGTGCGTTTGAAAGGATTGCTACTGCACTCAACTGGCCCAAAGACATGTGGCCTATACTTCTGCAGTGCAAGCTAGTGGGCAAAGCACAGGAAGTTGTGTCCTCTCTGTCTCTGAACGAGAGTTTAAATTATGACACTTTAAAGGGGTCCATATTACGTGCATATGAGCTGGTCCCAGAGGCCTATAGGCAAAAGTTCAGAGAGCACAGGAAGGCAAATGGTCAAACATTTGTAGAGTTTGCACGGGAGAAAGGGCTGCTTTTTGACAAATTGTGTGCAGCCAATGACGTGAGAGACTTTGGGTCCCTCCGGCAGTTAATTCTGCTCGAAGATTTCAAGAACACGCTGTCTGATAAAATGTCACTGTTCCTGAACGAACAGAAGGTGACCACACTATCCAAAGCGGCTGTGCTCGCCGATGAATTTGTACTAACACACAAAAATATCTTTGTCTCTCCCCGTTCGGACAGGGTGGCCCGTCCTATGACTCCTGGTCCAGACAGGAGTGGATCCTCGGAAAGGACCAAACTCACAAGGTCTCCCCCACGACAGGAGCGTGAGTGCTTCTTTTGTCACCGAAAAGGTCATGTAGTGGCTGATTGTTTGACACTGAAGCGCATGCATAAGCCACAGCCATCACAACCAAAAGGTGTTGGTTTGATCAGCTCTAACCCCCCGTTATTTAACACTCTGAACCCTAAGTGCGCTGAAGTTGACTCCTGGTTTAGACCGTTTGTTTCAGACGGTTACGTTGCTATGACAGGGAGCGGTAGTGACCGGAGACCAGTGACCATTCTGAGAGACACAGGGGGTTCTCAGTCCATCATCAGAGCTGGTATACTTCCACTCTCAGATGAGACTTCATGTCATGCTAGCGCCGTTGTTCAGGGAGTAGGGATGAGTTTTATCCCAGCCCCTCTACACGATGTGTACTTATGGTCCGCATTGGTTAAAGGTCTTGTGAAAGTCGCTGTACTCCCTGCCCTGCCAATCAGGGGCATCGACTTCATATTGGGCAACGATTTAGCAGGCAGTAAAGTGGTCCCTGTTCCACAGTTGGTTGAGCGCACTGAGCAGAGCACTGAGCTTGAGTCCCCAAACGTATTTCCAGCATGCGCTGTGACCAGGTCCCAATCTAAGAACACTGTTGACCTGTCCGACAGTTTCATGGCTACTGAAGAGTTTTTCCAAGCGAAACCAGATGTCACATCAAGGACTCCAGCTGCTCTGGATGCGATCCCGCTACCAGCCACAAGAGCGGCGTTCATCACAGCCCAGAAAGGTGACTCGTCACTTTCAAAATGTTTCTCTGTTGTTGAACAGGAAGGGAGCAGAGCCAACAAAGTGGGATACCTTATGGACGAGGGACTACTCATGCGCCGCTGGAGCAGCGATGTCACCAGCACGGGGGATGAAAAAGTTCTGTATCAAGTTGTGGTGCCCAAAGTCTATCGTGCCCAGGTACTGTCCTTAGCCCATGACAATCCGTGGTCAGGACATATGGGTATTGCGAAAACCTACAATAGGCTGCTCAGACATTTCTTCTGGCCTGGACTAAAGTCTGATGTAGTTGACTACTGTCGCACATGTCATGTCTGCCAGATGACAGGGAAGCCAAATCAGGTGATTCCCCCTGCGCCGCTGTCCCCTATACCGGTAATGGGTGAGCCTTTTGAGAAGGTCATTATTGACTGTGTGGGACCACTGCCAAGAACTAAGACGGGAAATCAGTTTCTGCTTACAATTATGTGTGCATCCACCAGGTACCCCGAGGCGGTTGCTCTGCGGAAGATCACGTCTCCGGTCATCGTCAGAGCTCTGGTAAAGTTCTTCTCAACATTTGGTCTACCGAAGGTCATCCAAAGTGACCAGGGAACCAACTTCAAGTCAAAGGTCTTTACACACGCTCTGCACACATTGGGCATCAAACAAGTGACTTCTAGTCCTTATCACCCAGAGAGTCAAGGTGTGCTCGAAAGGTTCCACCAAACGATGAAGTCCATGTTGAGGAAGCACTGCTTTGAGTCACAAAGACACTGGGATGAAAGTGTGCCCCTTGTACTGTTCGCTGCGAGAGAAGTTGTACAGGAGTCGTTGGGGTTCAGCCCAGCCCAGCTAGTCTTTGGCCATGAGGTCCGAGGTCCTTTGAAAATCCTAAAAGAGCACCTCATTACACCTCAGAGGACTGTCAGAAACATCCCAGAGTATGTCACTACGCTGAGGGATCGTCTAAGGCAAGCTTGTGCCCTAGCTAAAGAGGCCTTGGCCTCCTCCCAGATCAAAATGAAGCAGCATTTTGACAGGAAGGCTGTTGTTCGCAGCTTCCAGCCTGGAGACAAGGTTCTGCTCCTCTTGCCAATACCTGGCTCATCATTGTCCACTAAATTCGCTGGCCCCTATGTTGTAGACCAGAAGCTGAGTGACACAAATTACGTCATTCACACACCGGACCGAAGGCGGCGCTCCAGGGTCTGCCATGTGAATATGTTGAAGCTCTACAGCACACGGGGTGAGCAGCAACCACCGGCCAGTGCCTGTGGCGACGAGAAGACCTCTCCTGTTGCTGCTTATGTAGGGGTGAGTACGGAGTCAGAGGATGGCCTGCTCATGAAAAGCGCTACACCCCAGGGGGCTAGGCTAAGCAACAGCCAAGTCCTGAGAAACTTGACCAGTTATTTGTCAGATCTCCCCAAAGACAAAAGTGATGACATCACTCAGGTCATACTGGACTTTCCAACGCTGTTCAGTGACACTCCCTCACAGACTACTGTTATCTCGCACGACATAGTCCTGACTAACCCAGCACCGATTAAGCAGCGCGCTTACAGGGTCAGTCCTGCTAAACGGGAGATACTGAAGAAAGAAGCAGAATATCTGCTCAACAATGGACTTGCTGTCCACAGTTCAAGTGCATGGAGTTCCCCCTGTCTCCTTGAGACAAAAGCTGATGGGAGCCCCAGGTTTTGTACAGACTTCCGAAAAGTCAATGCAGTGACAGTGCCCGATGCGCATCCCCTGCCATTGATTGACGACTGCATCGATGAGATTGGTCCTGCAGCCTTTGTGAGTAAACTCGACATGCTGAAGGGATATTGGCCGGTTCCGTTAACCCCCCATGCTTCTGAAATCTCAGCTTTTGTGACTCCAGACTACTTCCTCCAGTACACAGTCATGCCATTTGGTCTCTGCAACGCCCCGGCGACTTTTCAGAGGTTGGTAAACAAAGTGTTGGGAGGCGTACCCCATTGTAGAGTATATCTGGACGACATTGTGATTTACACCCCTGATTGGGAAACTCATGTGGCGACATTGAAGGTGGTTTTTGGGCGTCTGTCTGCTGCAAGTTTAACACTGAACCTTTCAAAATGTGAATTCGGACAGGGCACGGTGCAGTATCTGGGTCAGCAGGTTGGCAGTGGAAAGGTGTGCCCTGTGGAGGCCAAAATCGCTGCGATCGTTGCCTTCCCCACTCCAACGGCCCGAAGGGAGCTACGTCGATTCCTTGGGATGGCTGGATACTATCGCAGGTTCTGTAAAAACTTCTCCACAGTTGCTGCCCCCCTGACTGCCCTCACCAGTCCTGCCAAGCCATTTGTATGGTCCGAGGAGTGTCAGAAGTCCTTTGAGAGATTAAAGGCTATGATGTGTTGCACTCCTGTTTTGTCAGCTCCAGACTTTCAGCGGCCATTCAAGCTAGAGGTGGATGCCAGCATGGCGGGGGCAGCAGCAGTTCTCCTTCAAGAAGGTGATCAGGGCATCGATCATCCTGTGAGTTACTTTTCACGTAAGTTCAACAAGCATCAATTAAAGTACTCCACGATTGAAAAGGAAACTCTCGCTCTGCTATTGGCCGTGCAGCACTTTGAAATTTATATTGGTTCCCAGGCCACCCTCGTGTATACGGATCACAACCCTCTTACATTCCTCTCACGAATGTATAACCACAATCAACGCCTTATGCGATGGTCATTGATCCTGCAAAACTACAACCTGGTAATAAAGCACAAAAAAGGATCAGAGAACATAGTTGCTGATGCACTTTCTAGAGTCCCTTGATGTCCACTGGCCATATTCGAACCCTGCTCGAATTTATAAGGGTGGGGGTGTTACGTGCATCAGAGTTGCCTTTCCCTGTGTGCTGCTGTTCTCTCCCTTCTGCTTCTGTGTGAAGGTGCTGTGGGCGTGCCCTGGAGGAGGATGGTGCATGATTGGTGGAGTGGAGGCAAATTGGAGAGTATTTAAACAGGGAGTGTCTTGGGCGGCTCTCTCTCTCTCAGGTGCCAGAAGCTGCCAGGTGGTAGCCTAATTTGTTTCTGTGTGGAGGTTTGGTTAGGTGAGTTTGGTGCTAAGTTACGTTTACAACACGTAGATACTTTTGTTAGATTCCCTAGCTTATCAGTTGTGACCACCCTTGTTGTTTTGAGTTCTACTCCACTTTTCTTTAGATAAAACAGAATAGACATTTTTTATTTCATTTCTTTTATTAGACTAGCCTGTGAGTTAGGCCTCTTTTGTTATATTTTACTTTTGTTCTTTTGGCACAACTGGGCGACGCCACTCCTCCCACCACTGTTATTTCTTTTTAGTTTGGCTCTTAAATAAAGACATTGCCAAACTCCTTAAGTGACTCTGTGTTTCAATGATTGTTTCACATATCCCTGTTATGACTGGTGTGGGTCCTTAACTGGTCATAACAACAAGCAAGAGAGAATGCGAAAGTATGCGACTACAGGAAGAGACGGTATAAAAATTTACGTCACAGCGGGCGCCACAGGAAGGCGTAATGTGACGCACAAAATCACGTCCCCACCACACCTGACCCCCCACTCTCCACATTGACCCCCCTCATCTGGGCTTTAAAACCGTGCTCAGGCACAGATTGCAGCAATCGTGCCTAAGTCCAGTTACCGCAGTCACATGGCACCTAAAGCCCGGATCTAATAACGATCTGGGCTTAGGCCCACTTTAACCGGGCTGTAGGTTGTGCATGTGACCGCAGCCTAAGAGAGCTTTCTGGCGTTGAACCTCAAAACTTTAGGCACTCACCTGTGTTTTCAGAGGTTGCGGCTTCAGAGTCGAGTTCAGCCGCATCGAGAGAAGCAGAATCCAGCTGCTCACTCAGAGAATCCAGAGACTCGTCCAGGACTGAGCCGTTACCATGGAAACCATTCAGCTCATCGCCCGGCTCCACAGCGCCCTCTGCTGCCTCCGCCGCCTCTGCAGCCTCTGCCTGCTCAGCTGGCTTTGGCTTCTTTTTCTTCTTGGGCTGAATACAGGCAAAAGTCAACATTAACAAATGGTTTCAAAGAACTGTCCTTTTGGGAGACATTTTAGCATGTAACCATATATTGTACAGACCAAATGTTTGGACACACTTTCTCATTCAGTGAGTGTCCTTTCTTTTCATGACCATTGACTGTAGCTTCACACCCAGGCTGTGTAAGGGCTATTTGACCAATGAGGAGAGTGATGGGTGCTGGGCCAGATGACCCGGCCTCTACAGTCACCAGACCTCAACCCAATCCAGATGGTTTTGGGGTGAGCTGGACCACCGGGTGAAGGCGAAAGGGCCAACAAGTGCTAAGCATCTCTGGGAACTCTTTCAAGACTGTTGGAGGAACATTTCAGGTCACAACCTCTTGAAGCTCATCAAGAGAATGCCAGGAGTGTCATTTAATTTCATTTTCAAGCCCTTTATTGTCCATTTCTGGGTCAGGGGGGTGGCAATGAGAGCTGCCACCCATTGCTCATAGCACCAGTCCCTTGCTGATCCTCTGCAGGGGGTGAGTCCACAGGAAGATGGCTGTCAGTGATGAAAGAGCCTTGGTCTTTCAGCGGGGGCTTCAGGCAACGTGGGGTTAAGTGTCTTGCCCAAGGACACGACGACAGTAGACATCAGTGGGAGCAGTTGGAGTAGGTCCCATGGTGGGAATCGAACTCACGACCTCCAGGCTCAAAGGCCACTGCTCTACCAACTGAGCTACTGTCGCCCCCCTTTCTGTTGCCAGGAGTGTGCGAAGCAATAATCAAAGGAAAAGGTGCTACTTTGAAGAACCGAGAATAGAACACATTTTTTCAGTTGTTTCATACTGTTCCTAGGTACGTACATAATTCCACATGAGTCAATTCATAGTTCTGATGCCTTCAGTGTGAATCTACAATTTTAATAATCATGAAAATAAATAACTCTTTGAATGAGACGGTGTGTCCAAACTTTTGGTCTGTACTGTACACATTTCATATCCTGCAATAATGATCCACTGCTTAATGAAAACAGGTTCTTTATATATAAGGAGGAAACAACAAAATGCAATAATCGAAAGACCTAATGATGTCTACGGACAAAGAAGACCAAGATCCGCTTGCACAGGAGTGATGGGAAGAAAACCGTATGGAGAAGGTAAAGGAAATGAGCCAACAAGGATCAATCCAAAAATTCAAAATAACCTTAATAGAACTATCCGTCTATCTGTTTTCTTCCCCTTTGTCCATTTCTGGGACCTCCACCACCTTCACAAAGGAACCCTCATCATTGACCAAACCTGAACTAGTCTGGACTACACTCTCGAATGCTGCCTGGGGATTTCTTACACCGCACAAAAGAGTTCATTTTCTTTTGTTCATTATCTGTTTCCCAATCAGCAACCGACAGGAGACAATTTCGACGTTTCAAATTTCAATTAACAATAGTCAGATACAACATTTTACTTGATAGAAAAGAGGGGATATTTGTGAATGTTTAGGTTTGATTTATGGACAACAATGTAAGCAGGTGAACTCTACAGGACAGGAGGGTCTCAGCGATGATCCAGGACATTAATCAACATTTACAGACACTATGCGTTTGTTTCAATATTGTGCTCCAATTGTTAGATTCTCTAATCTGTTGTTGGAAGAATGTCTGTGAATTGACAATTTTGTAAAGTCCTCCATGACTATATAATAATTTAGGGCTAAAATAAAAAAAATAAACCATAATAACTTTTGTAAGCTTTTTATTAGAATAAAATGAACAAAAGTGCCTGTGCAGGTTTGCACATGCCAGTGTGCTTTTGAATATTGTATGAAATAGAGTTAACCCTTTAGGCGCCAACATTAAGAACTGCTCTAGCTCCTGAATACAGGACACTTTCTATACAGTAACTTGGCTTCCCATATTATTGATATTAGTAGTCCTCAATTGCTTATCAAGTTACAAGGAACTTGTGATACTCGACTTGTGTCCGTTTCATGTACATCTTTTGAAAGAGGCGTCTTAAGTGTTAAGAATGCTGTATTTAGCCTTTGTGCAAATAAACCAGTAATGATTCAGAGACGTCTTATGCACTCACCTTCTTTTTACCCGTGACGTTCCACTCTTTCAGGATCTCTGCAGCGCTGCCTAAGAAACCACAACAAACGTTTAAACACGTGATCAGCCTGGATAACAAAGGCCTGAGGTGTTTTTAGAATCTGGTTGACGTTCTTTTGTTCTATAAATAACTCTTGTCAAACTCAAGGCATTTCTGTGACGTAGAGAACTTTGAATGCAAACTATGGCACTCTGCAAGACTCCACCAAGGTCATCAGCAGCTGCCAGGAATATGTGCGAGCATTTACCAAAGCAACATGAACAATTACATTACATTAACAAGAAGTACATCCGTATTTGAGCTCTGCACCCCATAATTAAAGCCATATTAAACATGTCGTTCTAGGTTTGTTTAAAGACAGTTGTATTTAAGGGTTTATATAAATCCTATTTTCCACCAATAGAATTCTTTCTGGGCAAATTAATATCTTATCGTAATTTCAAAACTAATAGGTTACCTTTAGCGCAGGGCGGCTCAGCAAGAGAACTCTCCGCTATGCCCCGTGTATTTCTTTTGACTGTATACAGATTTAGAGTCCATTTTGTTGTTGTGTAGTAGTAGTTTTTATTTTCTTCGGCCAATATGTACACCAGATCTCAGGTCACATGTTTTCAGAGATCATGCATACACTCACATACACATTTTACAACATGAAAAAAATTTGCCCATTAAGGACCTTAGCGCGATGTACGTATGTGGTGTTGTTTTGATAACAACCCACCTTGGCGGGGGGCTAAGGATGTAAATTTGCCTACGGCTAACTCTGGTATAATACATCAAATGGAAAACTTTATATTGCACTAATTCTACATGGTCCCTTTTTAAATAAAAAAAACCAAAAAAACAAGCTCTACAGTTAGTTCCACTGGGCCACGATTAACACAAATAAATACTATTTGTTCTGTCATTTTTTGTAAGAATCAGCCAAAAGTACACTTTGGCAAAATATTATGAAAATAGGTTACTCTCATAGTTTGGTGGCAAAACATACAAGAAATTGAATATTGAATTAAATGCATGTATTGCATGGGTGTCAAACCGGTCCTGATGTATGTGATGTACTATTTTTGACTTTATACACTGCAGTCTTACCTTCTAAAAAAGCCTGGACAGCTTTGTCCACAGAGTTCTCAAAGTGTTGTAGCACCAGAACGATCTCATTGTTGCTTTTGTTTGGAACCACAGCTCTGACAGCACTGATCTGATCAAGACACAGATAAACAGGGTTAAAAACCTCCTGTCTACTTTTAAAAACAGCATCCCACCTGCACTGGAGGGCGGATTCACAACCTTAGAAATGTGGTTTGGTATTGTTATGGTCTTGCCCATTGCCCACGTTCTTACCATAAACTAAGGCTGAGTTTACACGGAGACAATGTGGCAGTAAAATGCTATAGTTGGATGTCGTTTGCCATCAACCCTTCACACGAAGACTGTGTTCAAGGAGGGTGAAAACGTAAGTGTTCAGATCTAGCCTGCAAAGTGGGACAACTTAGATACGCTGCACAGCGGGGAGCTCTTTCACACCCGCGAGAGGGAGAAAGGTGTGAATTCCCCCTCTGTTCTGACCCCCACCTCCGCGCTGCTCCCCGCACGTAAATTTGGACATGCGCAGTAGTGGAGAACAAACATAAACAACAATGGCGGCGGTCACACTAACTAGCTTTGTGGGCTTCCAGCGCTGCAAAGAGGAGGATTCTACACCTTCGTTCGTCCAAACGAGACCACGCGAAGCTCTAGGTTCAGTTTCCATTTTCACAGCTGCTGTTAAAATGCAGAATGATGTTGGTGCGTTCTGAGGATCTGGCATAGGAAGTGAGTACACTGCCGGGAGAGGGGCTGGGCACGGGGCTGGGAGTCGTGTTGTAAAGTTTCTCTGCCCACTACTGGCCGGGCGCTAGAACTACATCGTTTTTCAACCTCATGTGAACGCTGAGAAATTTGCATTAGGAGCCAGGTCGTTTCTGTTAATAGCCCGGAAACGTCTGCGCAGCGTCTCAGTATAAACTCAGCCTAAGTTGGGTGGTCGGGGGGGAGGGGTCATGGGCCGGCGGGGCTGTTTTTAACCAAACTGTAAAGCACTTTGTGTTGCATCTTTTGTATGAAAAGTGCTTTATAAAAAAAAAATTGATTGATTGAAGTTGACATTAGAAACTCAAATTTTGTCGTTGAGAAATGACGTGCATCCCACAATAGTTTTCCAAGACACACTGGTTGAAAATCAGTTAATTCGAAAATTGTTTAACAACCACCAATATATGAACCACCGTAACCACACAGAGCATAGTTGGCAACGTCTGGTTTTATGAACTGCTGTTGACACTGCGACTGTCGTGCAATACTACTAAAAATGGACATCAAAGCTTTAGTTGCCAATTTCTCAAGCATAGCAGAGAGACCCCGGATCTTTTCATTCTACTTAAATAATGATGTTTAACAAGAATACTAAAGCAAAGGTATTTAAGTTCTTGAGAGTTTATCACCTTCTCCTTCATCCTCTCTGCTGTTCCTCCCTGCGACATCACCATCTTGGAGCGAGTGTCGAACACAACCCCCGAGGTATCTGGGAAATCAAACAAAAACACATGCAGTAACTTTGTACCAGGAATTTTATTTGCAAACCACTGGAAAATGTCATTTGCAAAACAAAGCTCCCTGCAGATATTTTCACAGGATTTCCTGGAGAGCCCAGGGCTGTGTACAAGAATCTTATCCACAATCATAGTTTGAAAACTAGTCGACATTGTAATGGAGATAGTAATCTACACAATCTTCACTTTTTAATGACGTTACATTGGGCACTAGCAAAGTATATCGTGTCATCATTTCGTCAGCCAGGTTTAAACATGGAGAGGCAGCATTTTAGATTCATGAAGCTCAATCTGGAGCAGTCTTCCTGAAAATGTGAGGCAGGCTTAACTCAACAATCTTCAGATCCAGGAAGCAACAGATGTGTTTAGTTGTGCATACGGCTGAAAGATTGTCTCCACGTTATTAAACTATTAGATAATCACGGTACATCATCTGCTCATCATTATAATGTTCCCCTTGCCTTGTACAAACTGCTTCACAAATACATTTACCTAAATACAAAGCCACATGGTTATTATAATATAACTATAAACAACTTGAATAAGTTTAAATCCCTTTTTTGTTCAAGGAGAATAAAAACTTGCTATTTGAAGAGATGTGCAAGCCGAGAACAATAAGACCAACACAATGTTTTATCAAAGCCACAGTAACATCAGCACATCACCTGCATGATTCCAGGGGAATTACTCTCTCTGTACAACATATTTTTGACCAACTATTATTTGCAGCACCATTATTAAAAAATATTAGTTTTTTTTTTTTTTTCCGGTGAAATGCTGTTTTTTGTTGAGTTTTCTATTCCTAGAATCTGCTCAATGGGATGTAAACTCCCAAAAGGTTGCCACAAACACAGGCCAGAGCGAAGTCCAGACAAAACCTGGACTCTTGAAAAGAACGTTTCCTCATAAACGAAAGTGTAAACTCTCCCAGGGCTCAGTCCTGACGGCATTCAACTCAGCCTCAGCTAAGAACACACTTATAATACTAAGGTCATTATACTCAAACTAATGACACACGTACATCTGAGATGTGACTAAGGAGAGTGTCGGCTGCTAATCTTTTGTATTTACTGGCTGCATTTTACAGAGGGCGTGTGCTTAAATTTGAGTTACTAGTACTGACAATATCCTGCTTTACTGACAGAATCTAAATAATCATCACAGTACAATGGTTTAGGGTCCATGAAATCTATCTTTCTGGAAGTATAAATTATTTTAGAGCAACATTCAAATGACAATCCTACCTTTGTGGCTGTTCTTCTTTGCCATAATCCTCCAGTTCACAGTTTTTATGCCAAAAGTTGTGCACGTTCAGCAAGTCGAGTAACCCTGGCAAAAGAAAGGTTTGGGCCAAGATTCAATTTCTCTTCAACTTTTTCCAAATCTGAAAGGAAGAAAATAAACTATATTTAGAGCTGTTGATAACTGTATCAACTCTGATCGCTAGAATATGAGAAAATAGTCAGACAAATAAAATTAGAATTAGAAATTAGTTTTTTAAATGTTTAAAAAATACATGATCCAGGTTTATAGATCATGTGTTGATGATGTAAAATGCTTAGCCTGAGGTAGAAATTCAAAAATTGAAAAAGCACAATCTCAAGATTGCAATTATCAACACCTGAATAAAAAACAAAAGACAATCGTTTGGCAGCCACAGTGAGAGGCACTAAACGGGAGTAACATTGAAAAAAAAAAGAATCATTTGTAAATTTGTAAATCAAGATATTTCTCAGTACACCTAGCCCAGGTCAAAGTGTTATAATCGCAGAGTTCAAAGTGCCAGCAGTAAGTCAGACCACCAAAACTGTCCTTTGACACCGGTTCTATTTACAGTCTTTATGGACAGAACTAGGAAACCAGTTTGGGGAGCACAGGAATATCCTAACTTCATCTCCTCACCCACCAGGAAAGGTCGTGTTCACGAGTGAGGGAAGGATGGAGCGTGAGGTTGACACACGGATCAGTGACCTAAAGGACAAGATTGCAGATATAACCGGTCGAAATGAGTTTCCCCACAGAGCGGCTGGGTGCTCCATTAGAGATAGTTCAGTAACACAGGAGGAGCTCAAAGTAGAGCCGCTGCTCAATGAATGGATAGAAGCAAAAATAATAATAAACAAGTGTCTTTTTGATCTGGCTGCCATCATAGCTATAAAAATCAAAATTTTCTGAATTGGGGCCATTTCTATTTTTGGTTGAGTTCAGTTTTAATCTAATCATGACTGGACCTACCAATAAAGAAAAACCCATAATCAATATAAGTAAAAATGTTCTGCTTCCCTTCCTTTAAACCAATCCATATAAATATAGAATTCTAATATTACGGGTAAGTCCCGCCTTCCCTTTTCTTAGCATTGCTTAAAATCCACGATGCCGTCCAGTTTAACCAATCAAATGATGCCAAGGGCTGTCAATCATCGGCGCTCATGCTCGTAGCTGCGCGCATGCTCAGTTGTTTGTTTCCACGGAGCCTCTGAATCAAGCCTCCATAAGGCTCTGAAACTTCATGAAAACTGAACAAAGAATTCTGAACCATTTATAAACTGAACCTATATCCATAATCATTTATATACTGAACCTATATCCATAATCATTTATATACTGAACCTATATCCATAATCATTTATATACTGAACCTATATCCATAATAATTTATAAACTGAACCTATATCCATAATAATTTATATACTGAACCTATATCCATAATCATTTATATACTGAACCTATATCCATAATCATTTATATACTGAACCTATATCCATAATCATTTATATACTGAACCTATATCCATAATCATTTATATACTGAACCTATATCCATAATCAGATCTTCTGCAGATGTGTCCTATAATGCTCAATTAATGTTATTAGCTACTTCCGGGTTTACCGCCATCGCCTTTTTTGTGCATTATAACATGATTTTTGCCATGAAAACGTTAACAATTCATTCTGAAAACCTCCGTGCATGTGTGTTAATAATGTTTATGTATAATGTGTTCTCCGATTAACATTGAAATGTGTTGATTGATTGTTACGGAAATGTAGGTGAAGACCAATCAGAAAGGAAGGGGGCGGGAGCTTGGGTCGTTTTTTTCAAATCTACTGTCTGTCTCTCTTTTTTCTGACAAACTCCAGACAAATCACTTAGTTTAAGTGACAATATCTATTAAGAGAATGTTTTTTTTTTTATCTAATTTTGATGCTGAAAAGGTTTCCTTCAACTAAATGTTTGCTCCATATTTGAGATCTGCAGTTCATTTTGGTTTTGGCACAAATACAGCTTATATTTTCGGGAAATGTCAGCAATTAATTTAGCATTTCCTTTTCTCAGTTTTCTCGGGGAGTGGTAGGTGACATAACTCTGTTATCCACGAATAAAACCAAACCCTAACCCTAACCCTAACCCTATCATCATTACAAGGAAGTCTGATGACTTTCCATTTTCAATCTTTGGAAATTTCAGGTATGTTGAATCCTTCAACTGTGCAAATCTCTTTCTGTCTTACTGTGCAGACTTAGACTTAATTTATTGCGCAGAAATGTTTAAATTGTTCCACGTTCCACTGGACTGATTTAAATTTTCCAGATCCGTCAGTCTCATTATTTCTCTATGTCGCGAAGTAAGAAGCTGGGACTAAATAAATGCACGCCCTGTTGATTAGAGCTTGGCATGTCATAGTCCTAGTTCCACCACACCTTCCACGTCAAACCTATGTGTGCAAGCAACAAGTGCCTCTACAGCGTCCATTCATCCAAAACTAGGAAGCATTCTGTTTATCAAGAGGGAAGGTGCACTCATTGATCTGAGGCCAGTGAGCACAGAACACTTTGAGGTGCTACATCAGCAAGTTTACCTAATGACAGCCAAAGTGTTTGACACAAGCAGTCAATAAGTATTTTAACGCTGAAGACTGACAAACCTTGAAATTTGGGCAGCTCAGGCACCTCACAAACTTAAACTTCTGATAACATTTACAAACAATTGTCTCTCTTCTCACACCTGAGCAAATCGAAACGAAATAACTTCACCATATCAAATAACAACTTCATTTGCAGTGGCACACAGCAGCTGAAATGCATTCTCATTTTTTCCGGTAGTTCAAAGGAAACATTTTAAAAACAGAAATATTGTTAAATCTAAAAAGTAACATTCATAAAATATCAAGGATGTTTTTTTTTATTTTTTATTAGGCTACTTTATTTGGCTTTTGACTAGTTATGTGAATTGTACGAGTCGAAAAAACTATAATATGACCGAAGATGTTAAAGGGGTAGAAAACCTATGCAAATGAAGTGTGACCAGATTCATGTAAATTAAGGAAGAACAATAACATATCCAGAAGAGAAAACAGATAACGAATTACTTTTTGATTAGCTTACACCTTGTACGCAATAGAATAGAGCAAAATGAAAGCATAATTACGCAAAGGGCTAATTGCACAGCCATAGAGCATCTTATCAAACGCAGGTCACCGTTATATCACTTGCGCTGTTTCCCATTTGGACAAACTGGAGGCTGCAGCGCAGAGGCTCCAAAACACCGCTTAGCACCACACGAATCTGCGCCAGTGTGGGGAAAATGCACACGGTGTAAAACCCCAGAGATGATGCGCAAACACTATCAATAAGTACACAGCAGCAGCGCTTTCTCGAATCACCCGAAATCCAAGACGAGCTAACGCAGAGCTAAGCGGCAGCCGTCTTTTTACCATTCAGTGCCTTGTTGAAAAGCTAGCCATAGTGCACCGCTAACTTTGGCGCTAACACAAACATATTTCTACGCAGACAATGACATGTTAAACCCTGTAATCCCGTAGAACGCGTCTCTAAAATGCGTGAAATACGTACTTGTCGTTGGAAAGAGCCCAGAGGAGGACCGTAGACTGTAGCAGCTCCTGTAGCGTCTGTGCAGAGTCTCTGCTCAGGGCAATATTTTCCTTCAAATGTGTTGCCAGGTCAGAAGCGTCGATCCTACAGAATTACGCATAAAATACATGCATAAGGTTTAAAGGCGCGGGCGCATGTTATTGTGAACTTGTTAACATTGAAACAACACCATGACAACTGTTAATACATAAATATTGGTTACATGTGCTTATTTGAGCTCGTGCAACTATTAGTGATCAAGGCAAACGCTGATTTGTAACGTAAATATTTCTTTTTTGGCAACCCAAAGTCCACGTCGTCATCGCGGTTGCCAAGTTTGAGATTTTATCAGGAGTTTGGGCACCTGACTTTCTGGAATGCTGCTTGACATATACAGACATTATGTATTTTGGCAGAAGTCGACTAAAGTTTTTCTTGACCAAGACATGCCTGATCGATTGATTAGTCAACTAAAAATCTTGACAATTTAACATCTTTCAATTCCATGCAATAACGAAAATACTACCTTATTTTAATTCCCCAATAACTAACATAATAGAAACCAAATAGGCTAATTAGCTTGCCTTGAAATCAAATATATACCAAATATATCTGTCTTTCTGTCAAGTCTATTTTTGCATAAAAAATAATATAATAATATTCTTGGTCGTCTGCATTCTGCATGGACGTCTGTTTCGGTGTGACTATCTGGCACCCTTTCTCGTCATTCACGCAGTCTGGTCTGTCTCTGGTTCCGGTGTTGAATGAAAGTGAGGCTGCGTGTTTACGCTCGGCTCTGTTGGGGGTGTTCCGCCGGAGTTTGCGGTCTGAAGATGATCGTGCCCTTTTCTGTCTGATATACACTTAAACAGAGCTTATTTTGCGCTGGGTTTAACTTTACAACAGAGCATATATATAGACATTCTACAGCGATTCTATGGAGCAGAGAGGTGACGCCAAAATGGCAACCCCCTATGTCACAGATGAGTCGGGTAAGACTGCAGCATGTGGCCGCTTTGTCTGTTATGCAGTCGCTTCTGTCGGTATCAGCCAACAGATTCTTATTCTGCAGAGTCATGGATAAAGGTCCAGACATGAGCCTTTGTGAATAATGGCTATTTTACATGAAAGCTCATCTATGTGCTTAACTTGGTTTTGTTGTGCTAGCTTTGGCTAATCGAAAGTTCAGTGTTGTTTCTAGTCTAAAGTGCAACTTCTAGTCAGTAGATCTTGCATGCATTTATTTCAACGTTACATAATGAAGATTGATCATACTAAAGCAATCGCAATTTTGTGGTGCATTTCGCAAAATCTTGCGCTGCCATCTTTTCATTGCAGCTACAAATTACCCTTTAAATAAAGTAAAGTAATTACAGTGTGTAATGTTCTGGTTATTCAAACAGCTGGTTTCTAATATTCAATGGTTACCTCCGCCCTGCAAAGTGTGGGAACAAATATGATATTAATTTACTTTGTAATATTGCAGTTACTCAGTGATACAAATGTTTTATTGTCTGTTCAGGCAAATACATAGCTGCGACTCAGCGTGCTGATGGGACCTGGAGGAAGCCACGGCGAGTGAAGGATGGATATGTCCCACAGGAAGAAGTCCCAGTGTAAGAGCTGTATATTATGATCCTTAGTAAAGAGGGGTGAAAAAATATGGAGTCATACATTTTATATCAATATAATTAATTAATTCTTCATGTTAGGTGAACATTACTAAAAAAATATCAGATTTTCTAATAAATAACGGTCCTGGATGTCTAAATAATACATGTGCTATGCTCAGCTAATTGTACCTTGTCGAAGATCTATTTGCATTATTATTTGGCTTAACGGTATAATGTATCAAAGTATGATAATTTCGTTTTTTGTCTAGTACAAAGTTTTTGTGTAATACAAAGAAATATTTTTCATAAATTGTGACAATTACAACCACTGTAATAATTTATAATGTCGGATTAAATCTGAATCAAATGTAATTTGTTTTTAGATACGAAAACAAGTATGTGAAGTTCTTCAAGGACAAGCCAGACCTGCCTCCTGGTCTGAGCCCGAATGACAGCGTTCAGTCCAAAACCCAACAGAAAAGTGACAGCGATGCGTCTGGTCTCTCTAAATCTGCCAAACGTAATATGAAACGCAAAGAGAAGCGAAAGCAGCAGCAGACGGGAGCAGAAGAGGAGCCGGTGGACTCAGTCAGTCTCGCCGTGGACAACATGACTATTACTGAAAATGCCTCCACTCCTGACGATTCTTCAGCCGCTTCTGAAAAGGCCAAAAAAATCAAAAACCTGAAAAAGAAATTGCGGCAAGTCGAGGATCTGCAACTAAAAGTGGACTCTGGTGAGATAAAACAGCCATCGAAAGAACAACTGGACAAACTGACCCGGGCACAGGCTTTGAGAGAGGAAATAGAACAGTTGGAGAGAGAATCATAAAGTATTACGCTGTGTCCACAGTCTCTTCACTTGCCTCTTTGATCCCTTTGACGTAGTGGGAATAATCCACCATTTAACGTCAGTACGAGACCCTGAGACATGAACTCTGACTCAACAATATGCATTTTCTCACCATTCATAAGTCATGAGAATCTTTATTAGCAGGATATTGTGTTGTCTCTAGAAAAGTAGTATCTTCCGTCACTCTCATATAACTAGTTCCTGGCAGGAAGTATTAGGTTTATTAAAGCTCGGGTAGCAAACATTAAAACCACAAAATGTTGAAAGTACGTTTTAAAAACCACGTCTACTATACTAGTTCTTGGTACCCCAGCTCTCATTCTAACATGAATGTTTGGTGTTCTGCCGTTACAACTGATAAACCAAGCCATAAGTACCATTTGTGACAGTATCTGAGAAAAAAAACAAAGTGACTGCAACTTGGATGAGAATTACCAGTTCAGGCAGCATTCCAAGCCTAAATCTGGAAGGCATTGCTGACAGGAGCTGAACGTTTTTCCTGCTCCTACAGTTGTTAAATGGTCTCAGACGGTACATAAGCATAGATATGTTTTACATGCCTCACAATGTGGAAAGGGGTTAAGTGGTGCATCCTATTGAGGACAACTGCTCGACATATTTGCAAAGAGAAATCTAATACTCCACACCTGATTCTTCTATTCTTCCCTACTGAAAAGGGACATAGAAGATTGAGAAGTCAAAGGGGCAAGTGAATATGATTTCAGTCGACGGCCAAACAGAACTCTAAGCTACTTGTACTATTTCAGCAGTGTTTGTTGTTACCACGCATCCTATCTGCCTGTTCTCATAACCCTGGTAGCTCAAGTTTTTACCTCCTATAGAAGCTTTTTCTTGTCTCTTTCACCAGCTTTGAAAAACTGAATCCAGGACTTCCTTGAACGCTTTCATTTCAACACATACATTGTCTAAGTATTTGTTAACATAAGTTTTTTGTTTTTTTATCTGAGAGCTGCTATGGAGTAGGATATGTTTCTGTTACCACCAATGACCAGCAGAGGGCGCAGGCCATCATACATTGTGTAAAAAGCATTTGCTTGTATATGACAAACATTATGAAAGGTTTGAGCATTTTAAAGTGAATGATGTGTACAGCACTGGCAGAGCATTTTTCTATGGACGACTGTGGATGTGCTTTTTAAACAGATTTTTTTTTCTCCCTTTTTTAGATCATGTATATTCAATTAAACCATCCATTAATGCTACAGTAATGTATGTTTTTTTTTTTACCAGTGTTATTCTGTAATTAATGTGATCCTAACTTTAATGCAATGTTTGGATTGTGATAAACTTTCTAGACTAAAGATGACATCTGAAATGACATTTTAATGAAAACTAGTCGTTCTTGAGTTGCATATTCTGTACTGAAATGTAATTGGTTAGAATGTTTTAGCTTGTGAAAGGTTAATTTCAGAATTAGAATAATAATTAATATAGTCCCTCTTTTTGGCACAACCACCATCACTAATGGTGTGGATTTTAATTAATTTCATCCCATCAGGAAGCTGTTGAAGCATTAAGCATCGGAAAATGTTCTCTCTTCACAATTTAGAAAGTTAGTGACATTCACTTTAATAATAACAATTGATCAAATGTTATTTTAGTTACCAGTAATGCCCGTGGCAAATGTACATTACTTAAATGATTTTAGCATGAAGGTAATGTCCCGGTAGTACAACGTCTGAGAGTTTGATCAGATGAAGATTTTGAGACATCCAATATTGTAATTCAGGTTCAAACTCAATACTGGACTTATATGATAACATTTGTAACTGAACCACCTTTTAACGTCAAAATCTAATGAAATGAACAGATTTGAGCACATCATTCATGTTTACAATGTGGCTTTCATCTGCAAAATTTTGAATATATTGTAAATATTTTGAGACTATTTAAGCATTTATAAAACAGTATATTGTTTCATACAGAAGCATGGCTAACCACTACAACCACTACTACTGTTGCTAGAAAGTAATTGGATTTAAAAGTAACGGGGAGTTTACACCACAGTTTTCACGCAGCAAACGCGCATAACATGTTTCTATATTATCATATGGTGATATTTACTCTATAGTAGTCTTAATTAGAATGGATTTCTAATTTTAGCGGTCCTGTAAAAGTTTCTGGTCTTAAACACAGTGTTGGAGGGCAGTAGTGAGGTCATGAATCCAGTGAAATAACCATAGACTGAAATAACCCACACACCTTTTTACAGTAAAAATATACAGTTTTTGAAAATTGCACTTTTGGACCAAATTGAGGGTTTTTATTTCTACAGTAACAATTTGCTTTTCAAAGAGTGATAGAGGGCCCTGTGGGCAAGAGATCTGTACAGACTGTTATCCATTCAGTATTTTGACCAATTTCAAGCTTAGCCATATCTCCCAAATTTCCGCATATTGTTACGTATGTTTCATGTCAACGCTTACGAGCTGTGAACGCCAACTTTGTAATTTCCCTGTTAGGAATAAAAGTAAAACATCACAATGAAATATTGATACCAAGAAAATATTACTTAGTTACATAGTTAGAGTCGCTGCAGTTACTCGCCACCACTGATATTCAGAAACAACATTGTGTACTACACCATAAACCTCAGAATATTCACATAAGGACCAGCCCGTTCCATGCCATGCCATAGCACTGGTGTGAACGGCTGACACAATAGTGGTATAAATATCTTTGTTTTGGATGGGTGGGTTTGGACGCAGAACATTGTAATTAACAGTCTGTGGGAAGCCTGCGGTTAGTTGTTTTGTTCCTACAGCTGGATCATTAAGTAAGAATTTGTGTTATTTTTCATAAAGAAAAAGGAACTCCTCACTTTTATGTCACTCGGATTTTTATGTTTTATATAAATTGATCTTAACTGTTTGTCTACAATCAGTTGATAGTAATGTTCAGACCGATGCAATGACGAAAGCTAAACCCGGACTGAAGGTGTTTATTCATTTAAAACTGTAGTCAATTATGTTGCCTTGCCGTCAACATAATTATGACATCAAACTGACTGAAAAATGTCTCTTTATACACTTGATAGAGAGATTACATAAGCGATTTAGGTAACAAAAATAAAGGTTTTAATAAATGAAAATATAGTCATTATGCAAATCTCAAAATGCAATAATAGCTGTTTTTTTATGCTCTAAACATGTAGAAAATCTATCAAACAAATATTATATGAGTAGACAATGATCTCAACGTGTGACATCATAGTTTTACTATCAATATACTCTCCTATGAATACACACATTTAACACAACCTGAACCATTCTGTATCCATTTGAGTTCAAACATTAATGGAATATTTGAGGAAAAATGTGAGCTTTCTCCAGAATAGTGTGTCATTGTCCTCTTGAAAAACATTCTGGATGCAGTCTGTAAAAAAAAAAAAAAAAAAAAGACAGAAAAGTCCAACGTAGGCCTCTGTGTACGCTGTTGATAGAGTGCCTCCTCCAGCCTCTATTCCTGGACACTTGTTTGAGTAAAGAAGACCATTGTGTTGTAAGTGGATGAAATACGACTTGGTTTGTCACAGACAACACTTGGAATTCCTCTTTATGGTTTTGTGGTTTCATGTCTGGCCCCATCAGTATAAAACCAGTGAACTGCGACTGAAGCAACACAGCAGAACAGATAATGTGGACTATGTGTGATCCATTATTTTTTTTCTCATTCAATTATGTTCAGCATCTGAACTTTAAACATTAGCAAGAAGATTTTTCTATTTTTTATTGTTATATTTGTATAATTACAATGGGATATGCTCGATTGGAACTCCTGGGACTTGTCATTCTATTACAACTGGTTTTATCCTTTGCCTTGAGAAGAGAAGAAGCAATTGTGAGTTTTGTCATTTGTTTTCCCCCCTTAACATCCCCTATTAATATTAAAGCTGGGGTATCAGTCTAAAGAAGAGACAGCTTTAATGTGTGTGTAATATTACATAGAAAATGGTTGTAATGTCATTCTGAGTTATACTTCTATTGCTAATTCAGGCGTACTTACAAAAATATGGATACTTGCACATTCCACTGAGCGCCAAACCTCCAGACTACAGACTGGAGGAACTTTCAGGTGCAATAAGGTGAGAAGATCAGATCATGTTTCCATTCAGTAATCAGAGACTTGCTTCTCTAAATCCTCAAATACTTATAGAACATTTCAGAAGGCCACAAACCTCCCATCGTCAGGAAGACTGGACAAAGCCACCGTGAGGATGATGGACAGGCCTCGCTGTGGTCTGGAGGACTCCTCTGGTGGCGGACTCACATATCGCGTCCTGGGTGAGATACTGCTCCACATTCCCACATCCTTTACTCACAGCTCAAGCATAATGATCAAATATACATGTGTTTCAGTGTATTGCTCTCTCATTAAGAATAGACCTGGAGTTGTTTTCAGATCCATCCACACTAAAATCTGAAACATCTGGCACAAACATGTCACTCCACCCCATCTGTCAGTCCTGTCACAAGATGCTGTCATTGTATCACTATGACATCACGCTCGGGGCGAATGTATTTTTTGTATTTTAGTTCCACAGTGGGAAATGTTGGCGTTGCAGCGTACAGGACGTTAGTAAGAGCACACAAATTATACAGAAAAAAGTAGCGTTATATGCTTCTTAAATAGCAATTACTAGCTGTAAACACAATCGCATGGCTGTCATTGCAGTTGTAAATTTGGAAACAAAATCAAGTCCTCCCTCTGGTGGTAGTATAGGGAGTTCCAGATGAAAGCATTTTTTACCCTGACCTACCGTATATTTTCTACTTTACTGAGATATTATTTCACACTCTAAAACATGAAGTGACAAAATAAGTAGACCCATTAACCGCGGTGAAGTTAGTTTGAAGTTGGATATCCGACAGACATTCGCCGCAACATTTAAGTGCACCCGTACTACACACAGTACGGTAAACACGCGGAGACATGTACGCTGGTCTAATATTTACATATAAAAAATCATAAAAAATACTTAAAACACTTTAATGATCAAAGAAGAGGTGTACACCCTGCAGCTAGTGGAGGACTATAATCCTGACCTGATTTGGAGTCAATAGGTCACATGACCTGGAAGCTATTGAGCTAAAATGCTAATATTTGCCTTTAAAAATTGTCATTAAAAATACTTAAAAAATTTTAATGATAAAAGAAGAGGTGTACCTCCTGCAGCTAGTGGAGGACTATGATCCTGACCTGATTTGGAGTCAATTGATCACATGACCTGGAAGCTATTGAGCTAAAATGCTAATA